AAAAAAAAAAAAAAAATCTAAATCATGGAAGTAGCAGTCAAGAACTCAAAGGCTGTACTGCATTGGCCAAACTGTTGCAAAAAGACCTCTTTAAAGCATAAAAAAACAAAAACAAAAACAAAGACTGTTGGAGACCAAAAAAAAGACCACCAAAAGAACATGACTGCAAGGCACATGTTCTAACAACAGCTAAGAGAAGGCAAGTCCTCTCTTATGGCTGAATGCTTGCTTGGCTCCAGCTTTGTGTTCCTGGGGCAGAATGTTGCCCCAGCAGTATGTTTGCTAACCTGTTTCCCTGGGATAATGTTTTGCCCTAAGAATAGTATACCTTAGAAACCATTCTTTAGAATCATGTACCTTAACAATCACATTATGCTTGAGAATGACACGTTTTAGTGATTCCTATTCATGTAAGAGTTAGTATTAACCCAATTAATCATCCAATATTTTCGGGCATGGGAAAATGCCTCTGGGTACGGGAAAGAGTAAAACTTTAACTTTTAAATAATAATTGATTGTCATAACAAAATATTTGATTTTACTGTAGAAGAATATTTGATTGAATATGTAATTGTTTTAAGGAAATACCAAGAATAATGATGTAATCATATGCTTATGTATAAATAAAGCAGGACGGATACATCAGGCGTTGCTCTCGCAGAATATGCAGGGTGACCGCCTGACCCCTGTTCCTTTTAAAAAACTTTTAATCCTTTCATGTCACTTTGTTTCGTGACCTGTGCAGTTTGGTCAGACACAGCAAAAGACAGAACTTTGAGGATTAAGGTCCCCATGGTGTTTTCAGTTACTTCGTGTGCAGGTGAAAGCTGGACAATGAGTAAAGAAGACTGAAGAAGAATCAGTACATTTGAATTATGGTGGTGGCGAAGAATATCGAACATACCAGAGGCTGCCAGAACAAATCTGCTTTGGAAGAAATACCCCCAGAATGCTCCTTAGAGTGAGGACAGTTGAGACTTCGTCTCACATCTTTAACATGTTGTCAGGAGGAACCAGTCCCTGGAAAAGCACATCATGCTTAGAAGAGGGTCAGTGAAAAAGAGGAAGCCCTTCAATGAGATGGACTGTCACAGTGGCTGCAACAATGGATTCAAATATAACAAGGATTATGAGGATGGTGCAGGACTAAATGTTTTGTTCTCTTGCGCATTGTGTTGTTGTTATGTGCTGTCAAGTCGGACCCGACTCATAGCGACCCCTCCTTGGGTTTCCGAGGCAGTATCACTACAGAAGTAGGACTGCCCAACCTTCCTTCCGAGGAGGGCTGGTGGGTTTGAACCACCAGCCTTCTGGTTAGCAGTCAAGTGCCTTAGGCACTAGTGCATAGGGTCACAATTACTCAGAAGGGACTCAACAGCACCTAATAACAACAGCAAGAACAATATTCATACATTTTAAAGTTTAAAATAAAAAATACATTAATTGCAATGGGAGAATATATGCAACTAAGTTTCCTTGGAAAATTCACTAAAGTCAAGGTCTAGCCCTCAGCCTTACTGATGCAGAAACCTAATATGCCAGGAAGACTTACACTAATCAAGCACATACAGACAAAAAAAAACTACTAACATCTTAATTGACAGTGAGAAGCATATCTAACACTGGTTTTGGGACAAAAATGTGCCTTTCTTCACGAGGGAAATAATCTGGTAATAGAAGAACTAATCTGATTTAAGTACAGCCTTGAAGTAGAAAACTAAGGTTAAACAGTACACTCAGTTGTATACTGATATGGGAGGAAATAAGGTGCAAACAACTTCGTAGTTAAGGAGTCTCAAAAATGACATACCAGCGAACTAATGGGCAAGTTAATTTTAAAATCATGCAGTGACTAATTAAGTGACAAAGTTACCACTTTTTCACTAGAACTCAGCTCCTAATTTGTGTATATGTACGCAAACCGATTTTCTAGTGTGGAAAGACTGAGCTCCTACTAGTAAGCATGGAATCCTGAAGGTTATTTACTGGACGCCAATCTCTAAAAAAACAAAAGGTAGGAAGAAGAATCACTTAAACTATATTTAATTCAGGTTTCAGAAGAAGGCAAGGCTTTATTTATTTACTTTTCTTAGGTTGGGCAATCCTACTTCCGTAGTGATACTGCGTCGGAAACCCAAGGAGGGGTCGCTATGAGTCGGGGCCGACTCGACGGCACATAACAACAACAACAACAGTGAACTTTTTATTTTGGAAGTTTTGGATTTAAAGACTTATTCCGACGATAGAACAGAGTTCCCTTGTACCCCACTCAAGACACAGCTTTTAAAATTTAACTTCTATCTCTACCCCCACCCAAAATGCTACCCTATCCCTACTGGTTTTTCTGATCTCTTTAGGTTTTGGCAGGATCTAGTTCACACAGCGCAACCTCAAAATTGGGACGAAAACGTAGTTCAGTTACAACTTCACTGTCCAGCCACAAATGGTCAAGCGTTAAACTCAAGAAACCTGAACCCGGAAACTCTAGTGCTCTGGCTCTGCTCCGCCTCTCTTCTCTGAGACGCGCCAAACCCTTCAGCGTGGCTACTCCAACTGAAGTCCCCGGCGGTGAGAGCGAAGTGGAACCAGGGGCTTGGGCAGCCTGGGGAGGGAACGAGCCCGGGCCCGAATTAGAGCCGGCAGCACCTAAACCTTCACGATTGCTGTGAGGGCGTTCATGCCGCTCCTCCCAGGGCAGGTTTCCGCAAACCATTTTAAGCTCAAAACATCCAGATCCCTCAGGCGTATGGCGGATTACATACATACACTCATACGTGACGGCAGTTATTTAAAGCACACACCTATAGGTTGTTCAAACTCGCAGCCCACTTTCTTCCGCGGCCAACGCCACCACGCAGCCACACCTCCCGTTCAGCGCGTTCCGCACCTCAAGTCCATCCTGTCCCACCGTGCGGCGCGCGTGGGCGGGTATGCAGCTCGCGTGGGCGGGGCACGCGCGCGTGAGGACGTCCGGGGAGCGCGTGCGCCGCCGCCGGAATTGCTTGTGGTGGGGGTTTGAGAGCGATGGCTCTCACCGAAGGGGCAGAGGCGGCGCACCCCCTGTTCTTGTCATAGCTGCCAAGTCTTCGGTCCATTCCTCGTCATGAGAGGTAAGGCCTGGGAGAGGCGGGAGGAGGAGGCAGGAGGCCGTGGCGGAGGAATTTTGAGAACTAGGTCACCAAGGCTCGGACCTGGGAGAACCCTGTTTTTGGGAATTCCGATTTGCGTTTAGTTTTTTTTTTTTTTCCTTCCTTTTTTATTCCCACTGTCTGTACATGGAGAGAAGAGGGAATGTTCTACATTTTTATTTATGAAAAAGACACTGAATCGGCCTCTCACGCATCGTCGGTCTTCACAGGGCTGAGGAAATAAATCGTAACCGTGGCGTTGGAGCCTCCCGAGAGGCCCTAAAAACCTCCATGTGGTAACCGCAAAAGCATTCAAACCTAGGAATAAAAGAAAGACACAGAACAGGCATTGACGTTAACCCTAGTTTCCTCCTATAGAAACGGAAAAGTATGGCAGTCTGGGATGGCCTCTACGGTTTGTCGTTTGTCGGCTGGGGCTCTGGTATCAGGGATCTTTCCCTGGCAGTGTCCCCTTTTTTGACACTGCCACCCCGCGGTGTTGGCATTTTTAATAGGCAGACTGTAACTTCCTTATTCGGAGTCATCTAGCAATTACACACTGCTCCCGAGTATCCTTATTTTAAACATATTTAAGTAACATTTTGGAGAGGGGAGGGGTAATACTTTTGGTGGCACCATTATTGGAAACTTTAGGAAAGCTGTTTGAACTTAAAACTAAAATTGTTGGTCTGCTCAGTGAAATGTTGGCATACTGTCAGTTTACCTATGACTTAATTTAAGACGTTAAGATAATGCTTTTATCTTCCTAGTATTTCTAAGCATTAAAAAATACTCATTCTTCCTTATGAAATGGGAGGTGAGATTTCTCCAGCTGGACAGACTGTATGTTCTTAAGTATTTAAGTATGACCACTAGTACTCATGGGAGCTCTGGTGGCCTAGTCCCTAAGGCACTTGACTGCTAACCAGAAGGCTGGCGGTTCAAACCCACCAGCCACTCTTCGAAAGGAAGGTGGGGCATTCTACTTCTGTAGTGATACTGCCTCGGAAACCCAAGAAGGGGTCGCTATGAGTCGGGTCCGACTCGACGGCACATAACAACTAGTACTCATAGCATAGGAGCTCTGGTAGCATAGTGCCTAAGGCACTTGACTGCTAACCCGAAGGCTGGTGGTTCAAACCCACCAGCCACTCTTCGGAAGGATGGTTGGGCAGTCGACTTCTGTAGTGATACCGCCTTGGAAACCCAAGGAGGGGTTGCTATAAGTTGGGTTTGACTTGAGGGCAGTGAGTTGAGTTGACTCGTATCATTAACATCTGCTGGGCACTTGTATTTTATTGTTTCCATCTGTCATGAGAGAACTAGAGACCCTGAAGTGCAATTAGAAAAAAAAAAATAGCTCCCTAAAAGTTTGTGTAGGACAGTAGAGTTTTGGCTTTAAGGGAGGATGAAGGAGTCTACTAAACAATAACTTGACAGTAATTTATTTACTGTGATTCTCAGCTGCTCCTTTACTCAGTAAAGAATAGCTGTTGTTGTTGTTGTTGTTATGTGCCGTCGAGTCGGCCCCCCGACTCATAGCGACCCCTCCTTGGGTTTCCAAGGCAGTATCACTACGGAAGTAGGATTGCCCAACCTTCCTTCCGAGGAGTGGCTGGTGGGTTTGAACCGCCAGCCGTCTGGTCAGCAGGCAAGTGTCTTAGCCACTATGCTACCAGAGCTCCCAAAGAATAGCTAGTGAACAATATATTGTCTATTGAGCTGTTCACTTAAAAAGTTTTCTACTCTGATTTTTAGGAGACAAAGCCCTAAAAGAAAGAAATTTGGATAAGGGAGAAAGTATTCAAGAACCATGCAAGCCAACAGTAGCCAACTGTTTAGTCCTTCAGGAACTGCAAGCAGTGAGGCTATCTCAGCCTCCCAATGTGTCCATACAAGATCAACAGGAGAAGGATCATGTCTTCATTCTGGAGATGTTCATATCCAGATAGACTCCATACCTAAAGAATGTGCTGAAAACTTAAGCTCCAGAAATACAAAGTCAGGTGCCTGCAGCTGGACCCATGGATGTGGACATAGTCACTTACGGAGTCACTCACACAGTGAAGTAAGGCAACCAGATGATACTGCCACAGAGTCTGGAGAAAATGGTAGCAACTCCTTCTCAGAATTCTGCTATCTTTTCAAGTGGTTGCAAAAAAGTCTTCCATATATCTTGATTTTGGGTGTCAAACTTGTTATGCAGCATATAACAGGTAGGACATCATAGAACATTGACTTGATAGTTAAACTCAGTTCATTTTTTTTTTTTTTTTTGGTAACCTACTTTAACCTATACATTTCATTTACATATTTTGTTAGATTTTAAAATTGTGTATGTTTCCTTTTAATTCATGTTATTAGATTATATATTCTTTGATTTCTTTTTCCTTTCAATTAACTGAAACTTATTTTCTAACAGGAATTTCTCTTGGAATTGGGCTGCTAACAACTTTTATATATGCAAACAAAAGCATTGTAAATCAGGTTTTTCTAAGAGTAAGTATGACAAGCAACCAAAAAGTTTTTAAATGTTTCTCTCTGTAGAATTACATACTCTTTTGAGAGAAATAGAAAATAAGTTTGACAAATTTAAATAGATGGATTTTAGCATCCATGATATACTAAATTTTATATAAAAAGTTATGTGTGTTAATGTTAGATTGCTTCCACTTATTTTATTTGTATGTTTAGTTCCTGATAGAGAAAGGAAAACTAGACAGAAGGGTTCAGAAATTTAGAACACACTATTTGATTTGATTTGGCAAATGTTTCATGTTTATGAGTCAATCTGACCATATAAAAAGAAGCCCTGATGGGGCAGTGGTTAAGCACTCAGCTACTAACCGACAGGTCAGTGCTAAGAACCTACCAGCAGCTCTGCGGGAGAAAGATGGGCAGTCTACTTCCATAAAGATTACAGCATTGGAAACCATGTAGGGCAATTCTCCTCTGTCCTATAGGATCACTGAACTGGAATCTATTCCAGTGGCACACAACAAAGTAATTTAACACCCCATTGCTTTAGAGTCAGTTTTGACTCTTAGTGACCCTATGTGTTATAGAGCAGAACTGCTCCAAAGGTTTTTCTTGTCTGTAATCTGTACAGAAGCAGGTTGCCAAGCTTTTCTCCCAGAGTTGCTGGGTAGGTTCAAACCACCAAGCTTTAGGTTGTGGTGGTGGTGGTGGTGGTGTTATGTGCCATCGAGTCGGCCCTGACTCATAGCAACCCCTCCTTGGGTTTCTGAGGCAATATCACTACAGAAGTAGGATTGCCCAACCTTCCTTCCGAGGAGTGGCTGGTGGGTTTGAACCGCCAGCCTTCTGGTTAGCAGTCAGGTACCTTAGGCACTATGCTACCAAAGCTCCAAGCTTTAGGTTAGTAGAGCATATTTGTAACACCGAGACCTACTAAGTAATATAATCATCATGAAAAACTTTAGCTGTTGCACTGTAGGATTTGAAATAACTAAATAAAATGTGTCAGTGAATAAATGAGTCTTGAACTGTTTGAGTTTCTCTTATTTAAAGAAAATTAAAGCCAAGAAGTTTTTCCATGACATAAATTATAAGTCTGTCCATATATATCATTGGGGAAAATAGGCTTAGTTTATAAAATTTCACTTTAAAGCAACTTTGAAAGGCCAGGAGGAACAGCAAATGAAAAAAGATCCTATGTAAAGAAAGGATCTTGCATTCTGCCTGGACATTGGTAGTTAAAACCCATCAACCTACAAACATTTAATTCAGGGTTTAAAACTAGTAAAACTTCTAATTAAACTAGCAATTAAAATTTTTAATTGACCTCAAACAGTCTTATTAAATATTTACTAAGTTACCTGATTTTAAAAAAAATTACGCCTCCTTCAGTGTTTATGGGGAAAATACCTCACAGGAATGAATAACAATCCTGCCTACCTCCCAGGTAATTTCAGTATTAAACATATATTAAAGGTCCATGGAAGTAATAAAGATATATACAGATATGAAGTGGTATTCTTGTATTCTCCTCCCTTAATTAGAAGTTTTCATTATTTATGACATTTTCTCTCTAAGGAAATTGAGACCTTTTTGAGAGTATCTATGAATTTGTGACGCTTTCTTCTGGGTATCTATTGCCTTATTTCTAATTCAGAAAAAGGATCAAGTGTATGTACCCTTATGTTCCACAATCATCCGTGTATTGTTGTTGTTCTTATGGGCCGTCTAGTCAGACCCGACTCATAGCGACCCCTCCTTGGGTTTCCGAGGCAGCATCACTACGGAAGTAGATTGCCCCATCTTCCTTCCGAGGAGTGGCTGGTGGGTTTGAACCACCAGCCTTCTGGTCAGCAGTCAAGTGCTTTAGGCACTATGCTACCAGAGCTCCCATCTGTGTATTAGTGAGATCTGAATATTATTCCTATTTTGAGTACAAAAAGTAAATATCTGGGACTTGATCATATATATAATTTGGTAAGATACAGAAATTTTCAGTTTTACACATTTCTACAGGTCCTATATCACCTTAAGTGATATTTTAATTTGCTCTGGGGAAGACTTATTTCTAGGTATAAAAATTACATCAAAACACAGCTTAGTAATGCTTTAAGTATCTTAAATCTTTTCTGGAACATAGATATCAAAAAAAAATCATAAGCTAGGGTTGTATTCAACCTTTTTTTTCAAAAACTCTTTAAATTAATAATTTCAATACTTTGAACAATAAAAAATAAAAATTACAAACCCTGATCAACTTAAATGCATTTCAGAAACTGTTTTGAGGATAGGCACATATAGGGAAGCAGTAAAGGTAAAGTTTGCAATTGGGTGTTTCAGGTTTTAAAATACTTGGCTACTATGAAAACACAGATAATGCTTTTCATACAGTGAAGACATTATTCTCTTTAAAATTTGTTTAAATGTAAGAGTTTTGTTCACTAAAAATATCTAAAACAACAGTGATGATGTATAATTTAGCAGCTAATCTATTTAAAGATTAATCTAGAAAAACTTGAATTAGTCATTAAAGTAAAAGTTTAATGATACTTAAAATTCTGGCATAATTCAAAGTAACAAATTATGAAATTGTTTATTTTTCAGGAAAGGTGCTCAAAGATTCAATGTGCTTGGTTACTGGTATTCTTAGCAGGATCTTCTGTTCTTTTATATTACACCTTTCATTCTCAGTCACTGTATTACAGGTAATTAAGAGTACAAGAACATTGTTTTATGTAGTTGTATATTTCATAGCACTTTATATGTATATCTTACTTGCACATAATACTTATTGCAAGTAATACTCAAAATTTACTTGTCTCCTTGCAGGATTAAGAGCTCTGTGTCTTTATTCAAGTGTGTATATACCCATTGCCTTGGCAAACAGCAGATACTTAATACTTAGTTTTTTGAGTTTTTGTTTATATAATCTGAATGTAATATCCTTAGTTGTTTTTTTTTTTTTTTCCCCCAATGTTTGTAGAAGTTAGGAGAAGACCCATGAAAGAGTAATTGATAATTTCTATGTCAGATGGGAGTGTTCTGAATTTACTCAGGTAACAAGTTTGGTTACAGTGGAGTTGGAGAGATGTGGACAAATCTGGGATACAGTTTGGAGGTAGAGTCAAAAGCAGTCATTGATGAATTGGTTTAGGTGGAATATTGGGGGAAGAATGAAGGATGAGCCAAGGGTGTCTGGTGTGAGCAACTGGTTTGAGCAACTTTACAGAGATGGAAAGACTGGAGAAGGAATTGGTTCTGTAGGAAAAAATCAGTAATTTAGCACATATTTAAGAGGCTAACTAGAATTGTTGAGTAGTTAGATATGATAGGAGCTCAGGGTAGAGGTTAGGGCTATAAATTATGATGTCAGCATCATGATTGACTAGATGAGACTGACCAGAGAAAAGACAGATAAAGAGGACTCAGAACTGGACATACCAAAATTAAAGGTAGGCCAGAAGGAATAGCAAATGAGACTCAGAAAGAACCATCACTGATATATAAGGACTGGGAGGGTGTGGTGTCAGTCAGAAGTCTAGAAAATATTTTGAATGAAAATGGATAAAGAGAAGTGACCTTTGAATTCAGTAATTGAGCAAGTTGTCAGTCTTGACAAAAGCATTTCAGTGGAGAAGAGGATGGCAGAGCCCAGTATTAATGAAATTTTTTTCATTTATAGGCTAGAAAGGTAGAAACCATGACAAACTAGGAACACTACTAATTTTTTATTCTATGGAGAAAAGATTGGAAATTCAAGCATTTAAAAAGTCACTTTAAAATAAAATGATCTCCTGTTCCATTTATGTGAGCTCTGACATTATCTTACCTCCATCATCTTTTTTACATACCAAGTTGAAGTAATAGGTAGTAGCAAATTTAAAACTCCTGTTGATCCTTTACCTTTGTATATTGCCCTGGTAAATTTTGATGTTTTTCTCTTGGTAGCTTAATTTTTTTAAAACCTACTTTGGACCATTTGAGCTTCTGGGAAATACTTTGGATTGTTGGGATTACAGACTTCATTCTGAAATTCATTTTCATGGACTTAAAATGCCTCATTTTATTGGTGCCTTCTTTCATCATGCCTTTTAAATCCAAGGTAAGAAACTAACTTTTATTGGAAAAATATTAGCAAAACATTTCAGTGCTATTTAGTATTGCTTTAAATGACTTTTTAATTTTTCCAGTTTGTTAAATAACCTAACTTTAATTATCTACATTATCTCAGACAGGCCATTTGCTCAAGGACTTGAAACTAAATATTAACCTATTGAGAAGGCTTGTTGTTGTTATGTGCCGTCAAGTTGGACCCGACTCATAGTGACCCCTCCTTGGGTTTCTGAGGTGGTATTACTACAGAAGATTGCCCAACCTTCCCTCTGAGGAGTGGCTGGTGGGTTTGAACTGCCAGCCTTCTGGTTAGTAGTCAAGTGCCTTAGGCACTACGCTACCAGAGCTCCTTTGAGAAGGTTATAAATCAGAATTATATTTGCCTCAAATTAATGTAAAAATCAGTCTCTATATTATATAAGAAAATATTATTTAGATAGGTTCTCCTCCAGGACATTATCAATTGATAGTTAATAACTAACTATATGCATTTATCCCATCTTCTTGTACTCATAATAAAAACTTTAATACAAACTTTTATAATCATCAAAAGCGTATATATGTAAGTTTATTTGTAGTATACAGAAAACATCTTCACTTATCCTTTAGAAATTCTTTGACAGCAAACTCCCCTCAGTGACTGTAAATGTGAGAACCAAGTTGAGGTTAATGATTAGGATATTCTCAGGTCAATATGAAATATTTGTGCTGTATATATAAACAACTTGGATAGCTCTGATTTTAGGGTTTTTTTCTTTTTAGGGTTTCTGGTATATGCTTCTAGAAGAATTATGTCAGTATTACCGAACTTTTGTTCCCATACCAGTTTGGTTTCGGTACCTTATCAGCTATGGGGCGTTTGGTAATATAACTAGATGGAGTCTTGGGATATTGCTGGCTTTACTCTACCTCATTTTGAAAGTAGGTATTAATTTATATGATTAGGTATCATATGCTACTACTGCTTTTCCCTTTTACTGTTTTACAGTTTGTTTTATATTCATATTAGTAGTTAGAAGTCATGATAAGTTCTTTATTTAAACTTGGAGAAATGGAAATTTATTTCTAGTGGTTCTCAGTTTTTATTGGCATGGAGGGAGGGTGGAGAATGGACTTCCACATAACAAGGAATACCTTAAGTGAGGAGACAAATGGAATAGAAAACACCCATCACCAACATAATTCTCAAACTATCTTGTCCTGTTCCCTTTCTGCCTGTTCCTTTCAACTTAATCACTTTATGAAACTTTAAAATCTAAATATGTCAATAACATGTAAACCAGGTAAAATTGCTTTTAATCTCTTGATCTGATGTAATTGAGTTAAATTTACATTTGTCTTGATCTAATTATAACTCAAGGTATTCAAATGTTACTTCACCATAGTTAAAATTTGACTTAAACTTACAAGTTGAGTAAAATATTCAGTAATTGGACTTTAAATATATTTAGAAAGAAATGATTAGTTGTAATACACAGTAAGTATTAGGTTAAATACCAGGAGTTTGTATTACGAGATTTCAGCTTTTGAAAGCTATTATGAGATTTTTGGGCTTAGCAAAATAGGAATCCTTGAATTAATAGATTACCTCTTTTTTATTCCTTCTTTCAGCTTTTGGACTTTTTTAGACACCTGAGAGCTTTCAGACAGGTTTTGCGAGTATTTTTTACACGACCAGTAAGTACTTTTTATCAGTTAAGGAAAAACTTTCACTTTTCTTCATATAAAAATTATTTAGTTTGGTAGTTTTAGAAGTACGGATTTCATGGTTAGATGATCTTTTACTTTGAGATTACTTTTTTAGTACTTTTGACTCTTGGGACTAAAATAATGACTTAGTAGTTTTATTTCTGTGATGAGTTTCTTAAATTGCACATTGCCAATATCTTAATTGTTGCAGTGTTTCTATGTTTGAATGTGCTTCTCACCTTTTTACCACCTGACATTCTTAATGGTTTATAAACATTCCCTTAAAAATTCTATTATGTGAAATTTTGTTCTTCTTCTAACCCACAAATGTTAGCTTTATATATCTCCATTAACTCCTTATTCTGCTTTTATGAAAGTGATTTCACTATAATTTACTGTGTATATGTAAAACGCTCATTACCAAAAATCATCTCTCTCGTAGTTTTCTTACTGGAGGAAACCAATAGTTAATTCTGTATGCACAAATAAGTTCATTTAGCAGTGTAAGACTCCAGTGGCAGTTGTAAACTTGATTATGATGATTCTATTACTGTTACAAATTGCAGAGAAAATGTCATAAAGCAGGGTGATTTGCTAATCAGACCAGGCCCCAAAGGTTCCCAGTACCTAGATGTGATCACCATATTTCAGGATTTGATCCTCACCGTAGCACTCTATTATATAAACAATTATTTGGTCAGGTCTCAGGAGCACTGACAGGAATACCAGCCTGATAAACAGTACCATTGAAAAAAAGATAATGAAGTATTATGTCTATCAAGTTGACCAGACTAACTGGCCAGGGTACTATTTCCTTAAAATAGTGTTAGCAATGTACAAACAATTTTTGCTTACAGCCTATGCAGACTTCCTTCTTCAGACAAAATAAAAGTGAAAGTTCATCTTCAGCCAGTTTAATTTAAAGCTGATAAGTATGTAAGCATCAGCTATTTCCCTATAACTGATCTATTAAGATTGTGCTGAAATAACCTCAAGAATATACCCTGATATTCTGAGGGATCAGGTTTGCTAGTCTGATAGAGCCTGGTAGAACTACTGAGACTATGGTTCCTAGCTGCCCTTCAGGTCTGGAATTGAACCCACACCTGTGGCTTCGAGCCAAACAAAAGACAGGCATATGAGTTGAACATTTACCTGAGGTAGATACATGCCTTGGAGAGAACAATCATGGGAGAAAGAAGGGCTGTTTATGCACAGGGAGACAGCTCAGGGGGCAGAAATGCATGGAGGGATGGACACAGGGAAAAGGTGACTATTGGGAGGAAGTGGGAGGGGAGCTGTTGCATTGTGGTAAATTGTGGTCAATGTCATGAGACAAAGTGTATGTGAACTGTTGTATGGAAAGTGAATTTGCTCTGTAAATTTTCACCCAAATCACACACACACAAAAAAGAATATACTCTGATTTCTTTATCTGTGAGGCAAAGTTTAGAGGGACTATCACAGTCATTTTTCAGTAAAACAGATAATAAAATTTGTAAGCCTGTCACATTGTAGCTACTTTGCTATATTCCTGATACTCTCTGAGATATCCTGGGCTTGTAATATACATGTTCCTGAACGTTACAGGAGAAATGGCAATCTCCATCAGGATTAAGTCTTCTGGAGGCAATCTCCAAAAAGCCAGACAAGAATGTTGTTTTTAAGAGCTTGTCAGTATAAATATACACATTGTACTCTGCTAAATGATACTTTACTGAAGGGAAACAGGTAACCTAAGATCCTCTATCTTTATCACAACTTGTTCCTACAATCTTGAATATCACCAGTCCCAAATTTTTTTTAGTATTTTCATCCTTTTGTTAGCCCAGCTATTTGTTACAAGTATAGATTATAGCATCAGATATGTTGAGAAGTCATGCTTTCCTCTTATTTCCAAGTCTGAGCTTGAGTGTTCTTAGTCTCTTAAACCACCTCTTCAGCCATCATTTCTACAGAAAACTAATCTACTTTGTAACATTTTGATTCTTCCAGATTTCACTGAGGTTCTTAACTGTCACATCTAGTTAATAACTAAGTTTATGCTGAATTTTCTCACAAAGTTTACTAAGATCTTAAAGAAATCAGAAATATGTTTTAGCATTTTGGAAGAAAATTCAAAGAATTGCATTATTGTTCACTTAGTTTTGACAGTCCTGACTCTATCAAAGTGACTTTACGCAATTATAGTTCCTTTTAAAATTTTATCATTCCTTTCCCAGTACTGAGTTCTCTGACTTTTGTGATAATTAGGGATGATAAATATTTTTAGATTTATTGGCAGGACTGTCCAGTGGTCGCAAACCATCTTCACTTTGAACTCCCCTGGGGAGCTTATAAAAAAAGATTGCTGGATCCTATCCCGTATGCCTGGACCTATTTAATCATTCTCCACTGTAGAGCATAGAAATCTGTATTTTTAAAATAAGCTCTCCAGATGAGTTACTAGCTGAGTTATAGATTGACTTCTCTGTGAACCACTGATAAAACTAACAGTGGGCTCAATTCAGCAGTCCTAGGTTCTATAATGGGAGCTCTGGTAGTGTAGTGCCTAAGGCACTTGACTGCTAATCAGAAGGCTGGCAGTTCAAACCCACCAGCCACTCCTCGAAAGGAAGATGGGGCAATCTACTTCCGTACTGATAGTGCCTCAGAAACCCGAGGAGGGGTCACTATGAGTCGGGTCTGACTCGACGGCATATAACAACAACAGATTATATGATACGTGAGTAAATGTTTTGTAATATTTAATTTTACTTCAAGTTATTTAGTCTATTGGTTTATGTGGAATTTGAAGCACTGTCGTCATTTAGTTCACCAGATCTAACAGATTTCCAAGATCGTATTTTGTTTTAATAATTACATCTCTTGTAATCCATCAAGACATTGTTCTGCCTATGAGGTTCAGCTTTGAAATGTTTGTATCCTTTGGGAACGTTTTCAAATGCCTGGCTCCAGGGAGATTTGAGAAAGTAGAGCATCACCTATATATTTGAGGAACAGGAAAGAAATAAATTCATAAACTTATTTTCATAGAGTTATGGAGTGGCTGCCAGCAAGAGACAGTGTTCAGATGTGGATGATATTTGTTCAATCTGTCAAGCTGAATTTCAGAAACCAATTCTTCTCATCTGTCAGGTAATTATATTTTCAGGTAACCTAAAATATCTATAGCATTTCTTCTCTATGACTCAAAAGTCACATTCATGTTAATTATAAGGAAAAAACTAATGTTTAGTGGAAGGTAGCATTCAGAATACATATTAGTAATTTCTTTGTGATTAGAGGTTTGGTAGGTTAGCTAAACTTTGTGCCTTATGTTGTGATGGCTTTTATTCAGAGAAATGTATAAAGCGAAAAAATAATAAATCTTGCATATTAGATACCAAAGTGATTGGAAAACAGACTATTTTTTACAGTTGGATGTTAGTCTTTTAGAATACCACAATTTGTTACTGGATTGTGTAAGGCTTTTTCCTGTACTTTATGGCAGTTATTCTTTCTATTAAGCTTTTCAGTCATCATAACTTTATCTTAAAGATATCACTTAGAGATAGCTTGTATTTTAATATAAATGGTTAAATGTATGTAGTATAGTTAAAAGAACAATTAGTGTTAGTATTGCCTCTACCACTAACCCTTTCTAACCTGCTGTTTGTGTTCTTGAACGTGTCAGTATTGTCCGTTTGAAGGGATTGTTGTTGTTGTTATGTGCCATTGAGTCGGCCTCGACTCATAGTGACCCCTCCTTGGGTTTCCGAGGCGGTATCACTACAGAATTAGTCCTCTCCAAAACTCAGCTTTAAAGAGTATGATTCTCTGCAATGTGATGAATTAAAAATGTTTATTAAGTATAAAATCTTAATTTCCTTACAGCATATATTTTGTGAAGAATGCATTACCTTATGGTTTGACAGAGAGAAAACATGTCCGCTGTGCAGAACTGTAATTTCAGACCATATAAACAAATGGAAAGATGGATCTACTTCTTCACACCTTCAAATATATTAAGACTTATAAACTATTAAGGCCACAAAACACCAATTTCATTTGGCTGCAATGACTATTCAGGCATTAGAATAAGTTTTCATGGCTAGAAGAAAAATGTTTCCAAACGTTTTTAGATGATACGATTTAAGTACATAGTCCATTTTAGCAAAAGATTAGTGAAAGAACTCTGTACTTTTAAAAAATGTAAGTAATGTTCAACCTAATGTGTTTCCAGCATTTCTTCTAATTCTTGGACAGGTAATTGCAGTGTTAAAATGTAAATGTGTTTTCTTGTTAATGTTACCAAATCAGCAATTGGATAACTAGAACTAGAGATTTTAAAGGAACTCAGGTATTTGTTTCCTGACATTGTTTTCAGAATAAAGAATATTTTTTCATAATATTTTAAAATACACCTTACCTGAAACTAGAATTTTCTTTAACATTGACTTTTGTAATTCCCATTCTCAAAAATTCTCAATATTTTCATAAAATTATTTTTAAATGAAAGTTCTAAATGCTGTAATTTATCTGTAACAATCAGATTTTCTAAGTAAAGATTAATTTACTGAGGATGATATATTTTAATATTGTATTCTCTTAGTATGGTAAGTAAGCAGTGATAATAAATGATTTCAATTCATACATGCATTTTGTTCTTGGCTTTAATATTCATGCTCTTATTTTTTATATAGTGCCATGGACTATCTTGAAGTAATAATAGTAATTCACATGGAGTACAAACAGTTGGATTCACAGATGATGTGAACAGTATAACAGATAACTCTCTAAACTCTTGAAATTCTCATTGTAACCAGTCTTGTCCAGAAGAGTTTTGGAATGACCATTGGTGCTTCAATAGTCATTACTTGGAGATTAAAGCTTGCATTCAAAGTCAGCCATAAGCTTTGAATAGTGTGGTTTGTTTGCTTTGTGGCATTTATTTATCCAGGGTTTTGGAAAAGGGAATGAGGCACGTTCTCCCTTTGAAACATTTGAGGAATCTGAGATCTGTAAGTCAGAAGAGCTGCCACTGGTTGGTTATATCCAAGTTTAGAGTACAAGGTCTCTGCCCATTTTCTTTATTACCATCTATCAGTTTATACACAGAAGATAGAAGTTAGGAGGTAGAAGTAGAAAACAAATTTGCCATTGTTTAATAAGGCAAAGGCTAAACCAGCACCTGGATGAATAGGGTAACTCCCAACTGGCTACAGGTTAAATCATTTTCATATCATATGGCCACCAAAATTGACAAAAGAACATTAGGAAGCCTGTAACTTTTTTCTTCAGGTAACTATTTTCAGGTTCTAAGTACAACTATTTCTGGTCATTCAGTGATGATAATATATTTAACTCTACTCTCCACATTGAAAAGGTGCCCTAGTGGCACAGTGGTTAAGTGCTTGATGGCTAATTGAAAGATTTGGTGGTGTGAACCCACTCAGAGGCTCCATGGGAGACAGATGTGGCAGTCTGCCCTATGAGGCAATTCTACTCTGTCCTACTGGCTTGCTGAGTCAGAACTGACTCAACACCGGGTCGTTTTTTTGGGGGGTATCCACATAGAGAACCACTGCAAATATTAAAACAATATTTTAACAGTTTATACAGATAATGCAAAACATACTTACTTGGTCTTAAATCATCTTCCTTTGTGGTGAAGCTAATAGTTAAATTCTTTGGGTATATAGCAAGGGATGGGTAAGAGAGGCAATTTGTGATTAGAATTTGGCTGTGAAAAACAAAACTGCTGACTGATTTTTGTTTCAAAACACAAGAATAACATCTTACATACTTATGGTTATTTGGATAGTTTTGTTTCTTAATACAGTTAAACAACAAAGGAGGCCCAATGTGGACAGTGGCTTTTGTTTCTTACAAGTAAGATAGCAGATCACATGTGAATTGCTAAAGGGGAAAATGTAATAAAGACACAGCATCTATTAATGACACTTCTCTACTTGTGTCTTTTCATTCCTCCCTCTCAAACAAAGGGAAATACAGATTCAAAAAATAATTTTGTATATTCAGATCATGCCCTCTGAAATACTGTTTTACCAGCAGTAAGAGAATGCTACTGTGTTTTATAAAAAGGTAAAGTCAGTTTGAGAACATCTGCAGGAAAATAATCATAGCAGGTGTAATATAATTACCAAAGGAAGTGGTTTATACAGATAATGAAAGCCCCTGTCTTACACTACTTATATTGAGGTATTAGTTAAAACATACTTGTGCTTTATTTTGTCCATATATATATATATATATATTCATAATAAATGTAACTGACAAATACGGTGAACATGTTCATTAATACCAGAAGAAAATCTTCTCAGTGCATTTATGTAAAAGTAAATTTACATAACTTTTAATGTGAACGTTTTTTAAGAAACCAATTCATCTGACATAACTTGGAAATCACTGATTAACATCCAATATATAAAATCAATACTAAGTCTCGTAATATCTTCAATTTCTCAGCAGAAACTGTTTTGCCACTCTCATTCCTCACATTTTTAAGTAACTTATTAAATATGAGAACTTGGATGCATCTGACATGTTAATGAAAAACAGTTTCTTAAACCATCTGTGCACCTGATGTGAATACTGTCATTTCTTCCTGTCTTAGGATAATTTGAAAAAAAAAAAAAATCACTGTTTTATGTTCATTCAAATTTGCATTTAATTTCTATTTACATTCATTCAATCTGAAATCAAATATCTTAATACATTAAACTAAATACAAGATGAAAAGCGGAAAAAGCGTTGCCTTCATAGCACTCCTAATAAGGCAGGTGAAGAATTTATTTACTCTGATAGATGCAAAGCCAACTTTGGATAGGAGAAAAATAATAAGTTTTAAAGAGCAAATACAAACACAGATGAACCCATCTTTTCAGATGTTACCCCAGATAATCCACTGAATACTTGTGCTATAGTGGTAAGAATCACACAAGAAAAGCACTGTATTAATGAGCAACAGACCTTAGGTCGTATGTGATAGTCATATACTTTTATAATTGTTTTGTCCAGCTTGTTAATGTCTACTCCTATGGAAGAAGGTAGATATGTGGACACTGATGTTTTGAGAAATTAACCATATTCAAAAGCCTCAAAATCTATTCTTCATAAATTCAACATTTCTCATGGTAATAATTGTAGATCTAGCCCTTGTCAGCTAGGAACCATATGACTAATTGACTATCCAAAATAGCTAGGTCCTATATTAAATATAAAATCAAAGGTTCAGTGTATTAATACTACATAAGATGCATCTGGTTTATAATCATTTGTCACCTACAGCAAAGAATGTTGAATTTATGGGATATCATATATGCATCCTTTCCCCCCACCCCAAATTACCTTCTGTCTCAGAAAATAATATGGGAAAATCCTTCTTGACGGATTCAAATTAGTGAAGACCACAAAGGGGAAAAAATAACTTTTCTAAAAATATGATTCAAGTTCAGTAATTAATACTTTACATTGTTAATCACAGCTGGTTTATAAATCCCAGTTTAATTATTCTGTAATGCTTATAAATCTTACAAAATCAAATTAGTAAACTTCATTCTCAGTGATAATATTTAATTTAAAAACAGCATGTATAAAATAAAAAAATATCCTGTAATAGCTGATTTTAAAGAAAATAAGTGATGAAAGAAAAGCACTTAAGCTCTTTTACACACTTACCTGAAATAATCAAGAACCCTCCTAGACACTCAACTAGTAATAGTGACATATTTTAAACTATGCTTGAATTTTTACAAATAAATATAGGGTAAGCCATATTGCATAGGTGTGTGCTTTCTGTCTGTGACACCAGTGTGGCACTTGACATGTTTTCACAATCATAGTAGGGATATACATTTACGAAACAATTTCCCAATAAACTTGCCATAACATGGGAAATTAATTTTGCTTAATGAATGTTAAGTCAGAAAAACTATTTTTGTGAAGAGTAGGTATACAATTGATGCTTTTTATACAGATAAGTTGTAGTGTTTGCCAACATAGCTGGCAGTACTAATTATGAAAACAGTTTAACTATAGGGTACTTACAGCCATCCAATCACAGTGCAAATGTTTCTAGCAAATAGGACTAAGGAGAAATATTTTGGTGTAAAAATATCACTGGAATTTGTTCAGGCAGTTGACACTACAGTTAATAAACACATTTGAAAACAAGTATTAGAATACTACAAGCCATTTACAGGCTGAAATAAAACCTGTACAAACCACCATAGCTTCTTGAGTTCTGTTTTTTCAGACATCACAAATTGTCAGAAAACAAAGATTTGCACTTAAGGTACAATTTCTGCCCTTTTTCATCATTGGAGCTTCTAATTTACTAGCCACAGTTAGAAAGTTCACAGTAGGCTGTTGCAAATAAGGGAGACAGGAAGCTTGAGAGGGTGGGGTTTTTTTGTTTTTTTCAAAAAAGGCTTTCTATCCAAAGATGAGCTGTTACTAATTCTTTTATTGCACGATTGAAAAGGTGTATTTCCAATCATTTTTCATGGGTCTGTTTTTGCTTACTGTGATAGGATTTCATCCTATCTTACTTGAATTGCAATTTAAGTAAAACCTTGTTCTTTTCTGATTGAATTCAACATGCATAAAGAATTTTATGGCTTGGATCCTATGGCTCAAAAATGTTTGAAGAACATATCAAGCAGCATCTATTTAAAAAAAAAAATCTCAGGGTTGCAAAATATTACAAATTGACTTTGCACACTTGGACTGAAGACATTATAAAAGACAAACAAAAAGAGGTGGTAACACTCAACTGCATGATCATCTATTATACCAGTACACATTGAAATTTATTTTTATAAAGCTCTGCAGATATTAAACCTTTTCACCAGCTAAAGTCATGGAAATGCTCTCTTTAAGGCAAGAAGTATTTAAGAAAGGTAAAGTTACCTTTATTTTTATTCTTTGTACCTGTAAATCACTTATGTAAATTTTGTTACAATTTCAAAAACATAGTGTCCTGTTAACATGTTTCTTAAATTAAGCCACTAAGTTTTCTTATTCACTGTGGAAGACATTCATCAAAAGGCCATCAAATATTTTTACAATCAAAAAAATGTAGCCCCAGTATAGGAGAAAAAATTAGACCTTTTTTTCTAATTGAAATTGTTGAGGAAAAAAAAGGAACAGAAGGTATACAGTAAAAAGAAGTAAAACTTAAAACCTTATCAACTTGCTGTAAAGCATTCAGATACAGAGAGTGGACCATGGCTACACACTCTTCCCCTGGGTCCCTATCCTTCCTCACTTTGCCACCTTCCCGCCTTCAATATGCATTTTTTCCTGTCTTCAGTCCTTCTTCAGCCATGGGCTGAACACATTTGGCGTCTTGAACCAAATACTGGTATAAGAACAGATGATTTTTTTTTTTTTTTTTTCCAGTGCAATGCAGGCCCAGGACAAGATGAAATGTAGGACATACAACTTACGCCCATTCCAAGGCTTCCAGTTAAGCTTAGCACATAGCAGTACGCAAGTAAAAATGATTAAATAGATTGATTCCCACCCACCCTAGTATTACAGACAGGTATTGTAGCTGGGTTACTGAAAATAAAGCCCAGTTCCACCCCAATCCCTCAAACGAGCCACAGCTGTGGTTAACAATGATTCATTTGCAATTTATTATTTCACCAAGAGAAGAAACAGGAGTTGTCTGGTTTTCTTCACACCAACCAATACTTTCGCATTTTAAAGTTTGGGATGTATTCCATAATGAGCTGAATCAAAAATCTATTTGAAAAATATATATTTATATAAAAAAAAGATTCAGGTTGCACATAAAACATCGATAGGTTTCCTCTGTCTTTGATTCCATGTTGCTGGAAAAAGTTTAACCAAGCTTGCATGCTAATTTGTCCTTAGTTGCAAGTATTATAGGCAATTTCATACTTTGCCTAATGAAAGGATAATCCTCTGACACAATCAGAATGCAACAGTGATCCAGAAGCAACATCCTACCCTTAATACTGTCAGTTCTGAGCCATCAACATGAAAATCCTTGATAAAGTTGAGAAGATGTCACTAGGAATCAATTAATTGATGTGCCTAAGAGTTCCACAATACTATTTTGCTTAAGTTTTTTTCTTTTTTGCACCATTGATTGATTTTGAAAAATCCATATTGATTTTTCCTTCGGTTCAGAGTGTTCTATATAATGACATTTGACTCCTTGAGACTGTCATTTTGAGTCTTCTTGTTTCACCCTGAGGGATGCTCACTCACACATCCCACCTGTTTTTGCCTTAAATTCATTAAATGCATTGCTCTGTCATAGATTCATACGTAGGTGCTCTGGCCGTTTGGAGATCATGGGAAAAGCTTGTTTTTTGTATGGCCCGGAGTTTGGTTGTCGTATTGGAAGTGGTGCTGATGCTTCCCCACTCATCGTCACATCCATCTGCTCTATGCCACTTGTTTCCATTGGGTATTCCACAGGTGTTTGAGGATTTGCTGTGCTGGCTGAAGCACCTCTTCCCCAGAAATCCCCAGGAGAAAATTTGACTGGGCTTTAAGACAAGGAAGATCTATCATTCATATCATCTCAACAAGAAATAATCCCCTTACATTTAAAGAATGTGGGGTAATATGACATTCATGTTCATTTAATTTTATTTTTGTGTGGGTTAGCACAAAGGCAAACACTGAACCATCCCTCCTCCAGACTAAGTGTTAGCATTTCCTAACTGGTTTCTTTACCTCTACATTTGCTTCCTATAACTCTCAATGACACTCAAAATCATTTTATATCCCACTTAAAACAGTCATTCTCCTTACTCAGTATACTTTAGGAACATCAATCTCCCTTTTATTTCCAAGAAGAGGCCAATTTTTTCCTCCCTCAGGGCTGCTGCACTTGCTATTCTTCTGCCTGTACCATACTTACATCTCCTATTTCTTGTACAACTGGCCCTTTCTCTCCATTCCTAAATGTTATTACACCAAGGAAGCCTTTCTCTAACCACTGTGATCTGTTATTCTCTGTTCTCTACCACTGTGCTCTTTCTTTTATATAGCACTTGGCACGACTTTTTATTGCATGTTGTGTGTGTGTGTGTGTGTATATGTTTGTGTGTGTATACTTGCTTCATTATTTGTGAATTTCTTCCAGTAAATCAGAATAGGAACAATTCCTATGTTAATCACGTGTCCCCAGCATCCAGCACAATTCCTGGTGCACAATAAATCCTGAATAAATGTATGAAGGCAACATTCGCCAGTGCAGCAGCTTGCTTTAGGGAGGGAAGATAAACTGTATACTACTGTCATAGATTAGTCACAGACTTGTCATTTGCAACAGAATACGGTGTAGATGCTGTTATGTTAACCAAAGAGAGTATGACAGATCTTTCATTTATGTAACTTGCCATAAATTTCTTAAGTAACATTCTTGTAGGTTAAAAAAAAAAAAAGTGAGAATAATAAAGTCTAAAATACCTGACAGGTGTTCGTGGGCTTCCAATAAACCTTCGAGGTGATCGGATTTTTGGTTCAAAGGAAAACTTTTCTTTCACACTTTCAAGTACAGATGGAGCCACATATGTAAAACCCTGAAAGGAAGCAACAGTAGACTACAGAATGATACTTTCTCATATACATCAAAGAGACACAGTTTTTCAGTCTCTATACAATGATGCACATCTAAAATCACCAATCTGCATACTCTCATTTTCACAAGTTCCTCAGCCTCATATCCACACCTGTTAACTTCTTTCTAGCTAATTCTTGAGGCTCAGACCTCAAGAAAGCAAAATTCTATTAAGCCCCATGCTGCTGTTGTTATGTGCGACCCAACTCATAGCGACCCGTCCTTGGGTTTCCAAGGCAGTATCACTAAGGAAGTAGACTGCCCTATCTTCCTTCCAAGGAGTGGCTGGTGGGTTTGAACCACCAGCCTTCTGGTTAGCAGTCAAGTGCCTTAGGTAGTACGCTACCAGAGCTCCTTAAGCCCCATATGCCAGCAAATAAAATTACACTGTCTTAATAGAAATAGGAAAAAATAAGGAAATGTAGGCTTCACATTAAGATGGTAAGTACCAAAATAAACATAAAGAAAATTCTAGTGTTTCCAGGCACATGCATATAAACACCCCAAAAACATTTCTCAAATTAGGCCAAAGTAAACACAGAATTCTTTAACTTGGCATGTGTGATCTTACTGGTTTTTATGCTAATGACTGGACATAAGTTGGTATTTTCCTGATAAGGGTCAACATTACAAAAACCACAATTATAATAGGCAAAAATACAGTTTTGTTAGTTTTAGTTCTCTCTCTCTCTTACCACATTTTTCTGTTTCTTGCTGTTAAGCTACCAGCTGTCATTTCTCTTGTTGTCTACATTCATCCCTTCAATAGTCAGCCCCATCTTCCTCTTCTAATTTATTATCCTGGTCATCTGTGAGCTGCACATTAAAATCACCATTGTCACTGTGCGTTCTAGTAAGATTCAGTAAGGCTATGGATGAAGTCCTGAAGTGCAGTGCAATTCTGCAGTGCATATGCTTTGTGACAGTTGTATTTGGACTTCATTGGGTATTTCCTCACATCTTCTAGTGGGTTAAAGCTGTAACTACTAAGAGAACCAGGCTGTGCCTTAATCCTGTTTCAATTTCCTTCAATTCTTTATGTGGGGCATAATAATAGGAATTTACATTCTCTTGAACTAAAGTTGCTAGAATCGCAACCTCTCGATAAGTGGGAAGTTACTATTTTTGTTAATCTTTAAAGAGATCCATTTTACATACAGAATTCTAGCTAAGACCTAATAAGTGAATTTTTCTTGGGTTTACTAGTTAGCTAAGTAATTACAAAAAGCTCAATAATAATTAACGGGCAATGAAAGCTTAACTATGTAACTTTTGCAATCACAACTTTGTATTTCTTTGTAGCTGGTTAAGATACTTCTAGATAGTTTTTGTGGGAGGAAAACTCATCAAGCTAGTTGAAATTCTGTAATGCCCAAATGAGGGGAAAAGGCCTCTAGGTTAAATCAATGTTTTTGCTTGTAAACTCTACATTAGCAGTACATAGTAGAAAAGGAGAAAGCAATGCCAGAATCAAAGCCATTCATGTCCACTTCCCCTAACTGAGCATGAGATGTTTTACTTCAAACCAGTTCTGTCATGGCTAAGTGAAACAGAAACAGACCAGAATTTTTACAATTTGGATGATTCGTCATGGCAACCAGAGCAGGAAAAATTACAAGTGAAGCCCTAGAATGGGAGACTCCAAGAGGCACAGTGTGCTCTTCTTTTAGGAGCCTGATGCTTGAGATTGGATTACTGGCAGGACTGTGGGTAGCCACACACCTTCAAAGTGGTGCAGCCAGCTACCATCTTTGAGCAGGGTATCATCATCTTTGAGCAGAGCAGTGCTGTTTTGAAGCCCTGCTTCAATGTTATATAAAACTTCCCTCACTAAAATGACTGAACCAACCCTACTCACAACAAAGTCTTCATCACAATCACCTTCACTTGCTGTACATGGTTTTTAAATCACTGAAAAGGCTTGGAGCCTTTTCTTGCACTAACCAAAAACCAAGCCCACTGCCACTGAGTCATTTCTGACTCATAGTGACTCCCACAGGGTTTCCAAGGCTATAAATCTTTATGGAAGCGGACCACCTCATCTTTCTCCTATAGAGTGACAGGTGGGTTCGAATTGCCAATCTTTTGGTTAGCAGCCCAAAGCCCTAACCAGAGTGCCACCAAAGCTTCTTTTCTTGTATTAAAGTAAGACTAAATAAGATCCATCTGCATCTGCTTCAAATGACCCATAAATTCTTAAAGACACAATTAGGAACAGATCATGTTTGTAACCCCAGGACTTCTTGTATATGCAAGTTTTGCACTCATGCTAACTTTAGAACTACCTCCCCCCATTAGATATACCACTATGGTATGTTATTCTGTGACTAATATAAACTAAAAGTTTGAGAATTAAGTCAGTAATACTTCTGTGGCAAATCCAGTGAACTCGGAAACAAAATAAATAGGGGTAAAAACATCTGAATGATTACTTTCCCCAGAATATTATTCCATTCTTCCTAGAGGCAGTCCAAAAGGAATCGACAAAAGACCCATTATGAGGTGGATGTTCATGTTACACATAAGCTTAGCAATCAAAATAAGTGTAAGGGCAGTGTTTGCACAGGGAGACACCTCAGGGGGCAGGAGTGCATGTAAGAGAAGGACACATGGAAGAGGTAACTACGGGGAGGAAGGGGGAAGAGAACTGTTGCATTGTGAGGAATTGAAGTCAATACCATGAAACAAAATGTTTACGAACTGCTGTATGGAAAATGAATTTGCTCTGTAAATTTTCACCCAAATTACAATAAAAATTTTAAAAATAAATAAATTCATTAAAAAAAATATAAAGAGTACCATAAATCTGTAACTGTTTCAAGAATTAAACAGTTACAGTGAATTCCTCTTCTCCCACTTCTAGGGTTGGGTGGTTTTCTGTTGACATGCTAGGCCAAACATCATGTTAAGTCAGCAGCCAACTAAAAAAGGAATCATACATTCCAAAAAATCATAGATTCCTACTCTGGTTGCTAAAATGTAGTAGCGGATTATGAAAATCAATTTGGTAAGTGCCAGTGGTTAAGGGGATGGCTTTAAAAAACAACATCAACAATAAACACCTCAGGTTACTTCTATGAACTGCAAAGCAAGCAAGCTGACTTCTCTTATGAAAAGGCCCAACCTCATACTTGACTTTTCCATAGCTACATGGAAATCCTTTTTTTTTAAACTTACCAGAAAGACCTGGTTGGCACTTTCACTAAGAGTTGAGTCATCTGGGCTGTCAACAGGTGTCTGACGTGTAAACTTTGAATCAAACTGACTTACATCCTCTTCAGATTGCTTTATAAAAATGAATAATTACAAAAATAATTAATAGTCTATATTAAACATATCAATCAAATGCACTGCATGCATTAGGGAAGGCTCTAAATAGAAATTCTTTTACAAGGTTTGGCTATAACAGAATATCAAAATAGTCTTAGTGGGCACATGTTGAAAATTGAATGTAGGTGGATAGTATTAAGGGTCAAGTTACAGCTTCATATTTTAAACATGCATTAAAATAGATTTCAGTACACAGTTATCATTCCTATAAAAATAATGATCTATTTTCCCTTCTCATAAAGCCCTGTTTCCTTAATCCACTGGTTAAATCTCTTTTTAGAGAAAATTTGCTCAAATTACTATTGCAGGTTTATAATAACTTGAAGAACCACTAAAGCAGAGTTATAACACAAATCACATTTGTAAGATGCTCCAGTTAAAAGTTTCTTCCCTTAGCTTATTTCATTCATTTAAATTTTTCTAGATACCAAAATTATATACTACTCTGAATGAGTATATTTTCTTGCCAGAGAATATCATCACCTAAATTCTGTCTGATCAGTTTTCATAATTCCTTCTCTCTTTCCCAGTATATATAGTTAGACTCTTGAGTCAGATACAGGAAATGAATACCAATTTTGAAAAACTAACTTAATATAAAAGATTATTTTATCAACCTTCTTCACAAAAATATTCTTCTGAATAAAGTGTTCAGGATATAACAACACTGATCAACCCAATAGTGCTGAGTAGTCCTAGAGCCCAGACTACTCTCACTAAAAGGAACTAGGACGCCTTGGAGAAATGGCTGATTCCAGCTATGAGAAGGAAATACAGGAGATGAGCACAAAATATAAGTTTCCTTGTTTTGCTCTCTGGTACAACAACATCAGACTACTGTGGTCATGTCAAAAGGACTCAGGAACCAACAGGAAAAAGCAGCCACTGTCCAAAGATGGGGAAAAACTGAAGCATCAATAAAAACAACTGCAATTGATTAAAATATATATGTAGGTTAAAATGCATGAGTTTATATGAAAATAAAAAATTACATGATTCACTAGTAAATATTGGAAGTGCCAGAGAATAAATTATTTTGAAAACTGGGAAAAATCAAGTATTTATCCTGACTTTCCTGTCTGAACTGTATCTCAGCTAACTAAGCAATTGATGAAAGACGTTTCTTTATGGAAGACTTCCAGTGAACAAATAAAGAATAACAGTATTAGAATAAGACTATTGTGTAGACTCTATAAAATCATGGAACCAGGCCAAAATTTCTCAACCTTGGCACCACCATTTTGGACCTGCTAACTGTTTGTTGTTGGGGGCTGCCTTGCATTGCAGGATATTTAGCTGTACCTGTGGCTTCTACCCCTTTGATCCAATAGCACCCCTTCCCAAGTTGTAACAACCAAAAAAGTCTTTAGAGACATTGCTAAATGTCCTTTGGGGGGTAAAATCACCCCTGGTTAAAAATCACTGATAGACAAGGTTCAATGATTGCTGACATCACTGGATGAAATGTATCTATACATTATGCCTCTAGATCAAACTGTATTAACACCAAAATTTTCATCTGAATTAGATCAAGCCTCCAGATTTAACAATCAGGTTCCTGGAAATATAGGGTATAGATGACCATAGTCAGTGACAAGACAGGGACAAAAATCAGCAAAATCAAAATACAGGCATACCTCGGAGATACTGCGGGTTCAGTTCCAGACCACCGCAGTAAAGTAATCAAAATAAAGTGAGTCACACAAATTTTTTTTGGTTCCCCAGTGCATATAAAAGTTATGTTTACACTATACTGTAGTCTATTAAGTGTGCAAAAGCATTATGAAAAAGTTTGAAATACTCTGAGAATTACCAAAATGTAACACAGAGACACAAAGGGAGCACATGCTGTTGGAAAAATGGCGCCGACAGATTTGATCGACACAGAGTTGTCACACACCTTCAATCTGTAAAAAATGCAGTATCTGTGACGTGTAATAAAATGAGGTATGCCTATATGAGGAACTCCACAGGACAAACCATCCAGTTTCTTCAATAAATCCCCAAGGGGGAATTGGGAGGGAAAAATCTATAGATAAAAAGAGACTTAAAAGACATAGCAACCAAACTATGTACATCCTTTATCAAATCCTTATTGAAACACAATAGGAAAAAAAGGAAGGAAGGAAAACAACTGGGGAAATTGTCAACTTTTTAACTACGAAGATAACATGGTAGTTATGTTTAAGTTTAAATAAGATGAGTCAATGATTTTGAAGCTGGGCAGTAGGTACACGAGGGTTAATTATTCTCCTTCCAATTGTGTATGTGGAAATCTTAAAACAAATCACTGTGTGCTCCAAGGCCAAACAATAATAATAATCTGCATCCTCCTTCTCTTCTCCACTTCCATCCCAAGAGACGAAAACAGAGACTATGTTTTCTCCAGTTCTGAGGTGGGAGAAAGACAAGAATAACATACTATCTCACTTATTCATAAACATGTATTCTGAAAAAAAATTTCCCAGAAAATCAAATTTGAAAGGTGGATGAATTAATATTAAGGAAAGGCAACCAATATTATATAAAAAAAATAGTTAACATTGTCAGCAACTGCTGTTGGTGTTTCAAAAGACTACAGAATAAGAGAGCAGGCCTCAGTTTCAACTGTTAATAAATATGTTTCAGACTGCTCTGAGCTTTTCCTTACTCTAAAAAAGTACTAGGTTCCTCAGATTATATGCTTTCTCACATATACATACCAAGAGAGGTTTAAAAGGGGGCTCCACCTTCCGAGCCAGAAGTTCTTCCCAGTTAATGTGTCTGAAGAATGGATGAGCCTAGGGAAAAAGATCAGGAAAAAAATCAAGGGGAACAGACTCTACTAGCTTGACAAGTTAGCTGCTTACCTACAAATCACAAAATAAGCTAAACTTATACACAACCACATACAACCTCATAAATACATTAAATTAGCATTATCTTCTCCTAAAACATCAAATGTGCAAATTCCTACCTGAACTTCTCCAGCGTCCCCAGGACCAGCTCCAAGACGAGAAGCAGCGTTTCTTTTTAGCAGCTTTAGAGAAGGGGGAGGAAAACAAACCCTTACTTAATCAAATTGATTTTTCTTTTTTTTTTTTTTTCCAGAATTTGCTTGTGTACCCTGCCTTGAAAAAAATACAATTTACTAATTACTACTAAATGCTGTTTGGGAATAAATCTTTAAATAAATGTGTACTTTGCCTTCAAAACCTACAGGTTTTTCTATTCAAAATCCGTGCATGATTCTTTATTTAAAATACATGCTAAAGTTTATCTAGCTAAATCCTAGCACTTGAGGCCTATTTAAGAGCCCTACCTTTTTAAGCAGATCTCTGGCTTCTTGTGTGAGGTAGGGAGGCAAATTGAGTTTACATTTAAGGATTTTGTCAATCGTTTTCTTTCTATTCTCCCCAGTAAATGGTGGCTAAGGATGGAAAAAAATGGGAAAAAAAAAATTAAAAAACACAACATTATACATTTCTTGAATGAGTCAATTACGCATGGAAATAAGAAATATCTTCTATGAAACAGGCTGATTGTAGTTTTTAACCAATGAGATAGAGCAAATGGCAATGTCCTGGAAGAAAGCCTGGGTTTCCATCATTAATGTGCTGTATAATAATAAAGAAGTTTGGTGGTACAGTGGTTAAGCATTCAGCTGCTAACCAAAAGGTCAGCAGTTTGAACCCACCAGCTGCTCCAAGGGAGAAAGATGAGCCAATCTGCTTCCCTAAAGATTTACAGCCTCAGAAACCTTATGGGACAGTTCTACCCTATACTATAGGGTCACTATGAGTTAAAATCGACTTGAAGACAGTGGGTTTGGGTTTTTTAAAATAGTAATGGTGAGTCATGTGATTTTCTGCATCAGTTTCAACATTTATAAAATAGGGGCAATAACTATTCTGAATCTATTTCACAGAATACTACCATGACACAGATCATTTAAGTGAAAATGTTTTTCAAAGTACAGGATGACATATAATCATAAGGTATTATCACAAATGGTTGGGCATGGGAAGTAACTCCAGTGATAACATTTTAAATAAGCATAGGGAAGGTTTCTTGCTTTACTGATTTAATAACCACTCAGCACAGACCATAAAACATGCAGCTTTTAACTGTGCACCTACTGCTCCAGTCAGCATGTCATACATTAATGCTCCCAAACTCCACCAATCCACAGCACGATTATGGCCACTTCTCATCAAGATTTCAGGGGCCCTACAATGAGAGAAATAATATGCCTAAAAATTCACTCATTTGCATATCATCCAAATTACAATTTTAATAAAAATATACAGTGCCAAATGGTGTTACATATAACTTAGCACATTAAAGCAAGTAAAAGTTAGCTATTACCCCCAAACCAGATATATTTCTTTCAATATGCAGCTCACATGTATTCTATTGTTCCACAAAATGTATGTGTGACTGTTCCATCATGAATAGATTCTTTGCATAGTCCAAAGTCTGTGAGTTTCACATGACCTACAAAGAAAGATTACAACAAGGTAATTCTGAGAATTCTAAGTGTAGTGTTTGAACATATCACACATGACATCACACATTCATCCTTCCATTTAACTTTTCCTGCCTTAAATATTTTTAAAGATGTTAAGAACAAGTGCCATTCATAAGATGGGATATTAAATCTTTTGCTAATGACATGAACTAGTAAGAGAAAAATAAACATAGAGAAGTGAGTGAAACTCACCTATCACTAGGAGGGGGGAAAAAAAAAGCACAACTTGGAACATTATGGTAGCCTCAGTTATCCATATACCATTTTCTCTTCCAAGAGTTTGCAACAGTTACTACCTATGCATCATTTCGTAGACATCTAAGAATCTCCAGCTAACACCAGTGCCCCACCCCCACCCCCAGCCCCTGGACGGATAGCTGCTTCTTTGGGGTGGGAGTGAATTGCTAAATCTATCAAGCCCAGATTATTCTAACATAAATCCAACTCTCTGAAGCAGTATGTAGTTGTAGTCAAGGCTGAGACAGAAAAGTCCAAGGGAAAATTTAATTAGCTCTCGATGAAGTCCGGTTTAAGTACATAACCAAAAAACCCCCACTGCCATTGAGTTGATTCTGACTCACAGTGGCTATATAGGAGAACCACAGTAGACCTATCCCATAGGATTTCCAAGGCTATAAATGTTTATGGAAGCAGAATGGCTCATCTTTCTCCCACAGAGCAGCTGGTGGGTTCAAACCACCCATCTTTTGGTTAGCACCCAAATGCTTTAACCACTGTGCCACCAGAGCTCCTTTTAAGTACACAGACCCTAATAGAATACTTTTAAACAATGGCGTAACATTGTACTTCAGATATACAGCTTTTATCACCATGAACTGTGACTTGAGAGTTTTTAAAATGGTCTTAGAAAGTCACCTGTAACAAGTTAGCTTACTCTAACAAATGCTACCAGATGGAGGAAAGAAACTAAACTGCTACATGGCAAGGAACCATCTCAGATCCAGAAAGTGAAAAACTCACTACCTTACACAAAGAAAAATAGGCATTATATGGCATCCCGTACTTTGAAAAACATTTTCACTTAAATGATCTGTGTCATGGTAGTATTCTGTGAAATAGATGCAGAACAGATACTGCCCCTATCCTATATTTTGGTTCAGGTTTAGTTTTACTGAACTGTTATTAGATATCCAATGGTTCAATAAGCTCAGGTGTTCATTTCAAAGAAAAGAAAAGGCAATGGCCTATTTATTCAAATCGTCTACTATACACTGACATGGAAGAAGGAATATAATCTTTATTTTCAAAGAACCATCTGACGCATTAAACCTTATGGGTCAAAGCAGTTAACTAGTCACTGCCCAACTGTATCCTCTGCCTTAATTCAGAACTACATGGAGGTGGAGGGAGGCCAAGAGAACTAGGAGGGAGACCCAAAGATTCCCATGACATAGTACTTAAGTATTTAATTCCTCCTTAAAATAAACAAACAAACAAAAGGACAATCTGGAGTATTATATTAGCCTCAGTTATCCATATACCATTTTCTGTCCAAGAGTCTGAAACAGTTACTACCTTATATGTCATTCTGTAGACATCTAAGACTCTGCAGCTGCTACTGGTCCCCCAAATATGCTGGATGGATGGCTGCTCTTTTGGGGTGGGAGTAAGTGCCACATCTACCCAGCCCAGATCATTCTAGCATAAACTGAACTGTCTGTAGCAGTACTAGCTGTAGTCCAGGCTGACCTCGTTGTACCTATTGTTGCATCCGATATTAGTCTCCTTGATGTTTATGTCTGTTGTGGCCAACAAACAGCAAGAATAATCTGATGTCCTCTAAATATTTTATTTCCAAGGCTGAATCAGTACTTTAGTTCAATTCCAAGCCTGTCTTTTTTCCAGTATTAATAAAATTAATCACAGAAAGTATCACTTCTAATATTTATACATTTCCATCATTAAAGTAAAATCAATTTTTATAGGTAAGATTCAGTTGCCAAATTAAGGAACAAACCAAGATTAGTATTTGGGTTCATCACACTTTTTGTAAGAATTTCAAAAGAATGACTAGCTATAAACAGGATTTAATAAAAAAAGGTGGTTGAGTGGCCAATTATACTCAACACCATCCAAACTCATCAAGAATAAGGACCTAAATAATTACATAACAGTAAGTATCATGGTGCCATAAATTCTACTAGAAAATATATAATAATAGATGAATGTGGGCTTTTGAAAATGGCCATGACCTATAGGGGAGGATTTTAAGATGATTATTTACTACAGAATTGTTTATAGTATATCTCCACCTTGGTGATTAAGCATGATATTCTCCGGCTTCAGGTCCCTGTAGATGATCCCTTTTTGATGTAAATGTCCCAAAGCCATGGATATTTCTGCCAAGTAAAAGCTGGAAACAAAAGTGGTTTAATAAAATTAAGAAGAGTCATCTACTCAAAGCAGCTTATGTATGGAGCAAAATTCGTTGAAAGAAACAGACATGCACCAAAGACCAAATTAGTGGGGTGGGGTTTAGGAATGTGGGAAAGAGATGGCATAGGTTGTTGCCAAAGGGCATAGAAACATTTATGTTTCACTCATTTTAGTGCAACTATAAAATGTTTTAGTTCATCATTAGGATATACTGCTAAAATTGCAAAGAAGTTCAGAATATGCCAAAATGTCACTGGTCATGTTTTGTTATATCTGTGCAGGAATTAGGCCAATAGTTATTCAGGTCAAAGTTAATTTCTTCCACCCACCCATAATTTCAAAATCTCATAGGAAATAGTAATTGTTATTCACAGAGATCAAGTCTTGGCTTCAAATGATATTTTATAACCTGGCCCTTAGAAGCCCACTCATCCCTTACTTAATTCAGCTGCATATTTATATACAGTTTATGCCCACAGTATCTACCCCCCCTCTCGCCAGCCAGCCCACAACTATAAACTGTGTGACACTCAAGTTTATCTACCTCAAAAGAATAAAGGGCTGAGTCAACCCTGTCTGGATTCGAAAAGCACAAGCAATACTGGCTGCATAACAATGTTGCAATCCTGCAGATTACTCCAGGATGGAGAGGGAGTGTCCTAGAGGACTGAGGCAGTTTCACAGCCAGCACCACCACAAACACAGCCTCCAACAGGGCTCAGAGAGCCTCCTCCAAAAAAGGGCACTTCATCCCTAAGGCTCTTAAATGCAGCTTCTGTGTTAGAAAAGGCCTGAAATTAAACAATGGAATGCAGTTTGGTAATTAAGGTAGAAAAAACATTAAAGTGTTGTTTTCTATTTAATTAATGTGTAGGATAAACTGATATTTTGTTACCCAATACTGTCTGCTCACAAAAATATGGGTATTTGAAGCAAATGTCATTTTAAGAAACAGAGCAGAACCCATCCTAGCCATAAAATCAATCCACAGAGGATTTCTGCAGTCTTATTCACCTCCCTAAGATTTTACATTGGGAACTGTAAAGTCTGAAAAAAGAGAAGACAATTTCTGATACTTTACACTGTTCTACATAAACAGTGGACTGGAAAGGCACACTCACCCACAGCCAAGGCTTACCAATTCAAGGAAAGAAAGCCTCATTGAGAATGGTTCTGCTAGGAACAACTGGCATGAAAAGTACTCCACCCAAGGTCTAGGGCAAAGGGATGATGTGACCTCTAAAGGCTGCCCAATCCCAAAAATGCTTCTCCCCCTTGAAGTCCTGAGGGACTGTCTGGCCTCAGAACACTTTATTGATCATGTGGCTGCCCACAGTGTTCAGAACGAAGCTTTTCTTTTAATTATATGAATTATTACCTGAATTCATGCAACCACAAAAATTTTACTTACCAAGCTGTGTCTTCCATAAATATTCCTTCTCTTTCTAACTGCATAAATAGTTCTCCTCCTATAAAGAAAAAGAATGCATTAGAAATAAAACAATCTTTATTTCCAACTCACTTCTAATGAGAGAGTTTGTTCTTTCCTTCTAACTACCATTAAAAAACCAACAGCCCCATTAAAAAACCAACAGCCCCTAAAAATAAAACACAGGTCTCAAGATTACAGGTTTTAAAATTAACTCCTCAGGATTCTATTTATAGCACATGCTTATTCTTATGTGAAACGTAAAAGTTTAAAAACTGTATCTGGCTTAAAATTCTAGGTTTTATGTTTATAAACATCAAAATATTTGTAGATTCCAAAATTATTTTGCTCTGTAAACTTCCACACAAATCACAATTAAAAAAAAAAAAAATTGGGGAGGAGATTCCAGATTCAAGGCTTTTTTAAAAAATCTTAAATAAAGCCACCTTAACATTTCATTCGTTAAGTGGACAAACATCAGTATACAATTAAACCAGCACTGCATATCAGCAAATCCCCATATTCCATATTTTCAGGATCTATAAGTAAACTGGATGAGACCACAAGAAATTCTATAGCAGCCTTGTAAAAAGCATGGCACAATCTGGATATCAAAATAAATAATGATAATAAAGGATTATACCCCACAGAATAATCTTAGATCCCATGAATCTACAATGATGTAAATAAATGAACAAATAAATTCATTTTTTAAATAGGAGTAAGGGAAAGCTCTTCCTTACAGCAGAATGCCAAGTAATAAATGAAGAAGGCATGACAGAATAAGAAAAATCACTTGGCAACTATCACAGTTAATTGTTTCAGGCAATAATCAATGGATGCTAAAACTGACTGAAAAGGTTCAATGAGAGATGAATATTTTTACATAGTCTCAAGTATCTCCTCAAAAAATACTTATCAATTACAAAGAGAAAAACAGAAACCTCACCATGGATAAAAATGGCAGACACCACATTACTCATGTGATCAAAGTTAACATCATTAGTAAAGGGACAAAGATATAAATATAATGTACCTCCTGATCTGATGCCTTAAGAAGGAAACATTATCACTTGGTCCTACTAAATGCATGCTATTTCATGAGGAAACATCAGACAGATCCAAACTGATGCACATTCTACAAAATAACTGGCCTGTACTCTTCAAAATGTTAAATTAAGGTCATGAAAGACAAAGACAGACTGAGGAACTTTTTCAGATTAAGGAGACTAAAAAGAGATATTACTATATCAATGTTAATTCCCTAATTTTTATAATTGTAGCACACAATTACGTAAGATGAGATCCTTGATTTTAGAAAATATATACTGAAATATTTAGATGTACAGAAAACTATTGTTTGCCACCCTCTTTCAAAGAGTTCAGAAAAAATTATGTGGGTGTGTTGTGTGTATGTATACATATATATACATACATACTTCCACACAGAGAGGAAGGGAAAGGAGGATAAAGAAAAAGAAATGTGGTAAAATGATAACATTTGGGCAATGTAGGTGAAAGGTACATGGGAATTCTTTGTACTACTCTTGCAACTTTTTGTGTAAGTCTGAAATCACATCAAAATAAAAAGTTAAATGAAAAATATGTTAACAGTCTCAAAAAGTTCCTAGATTCTTCAGCTTGCTGTTTCACATTATAGCTATTATGAAATCTGTTTCTCAGAAAACTCCAGTGTTTGTTGGAAATAGATACTTATGATAAATAAATGATATAGAGAGCAACAGGTTCCTAGGAGGTGGTAAGCACTAGAACACGTAAACCGCATTCCCTACTAATACAGCTACAGCAAAGCAACAGTTCTAACTGCAACAATATTCAGTATCCTAAACACTTTCCATAAAGTTTTCCTCATTTCAGTATAGGAAGGAATACCTTGATGGTTTAATTTCAATTGTATCTTATTCCCATACAGTCAATCAGATGGCTCTGCATCAATTAAGTTTTTGTTATCTTGTTAAGTGATCACAATGGGATTAAGATAAAAATTATACAGATAAAATCTTTAAAGTTTCCTTTATATTTATCTGTAAATAGAAACTTTTGGTCACATTTCATTTCCTACTTCAATGTATTTGTCAATTTTAAGAACAATTTGATCACATTGGAAAGAGAGAATTTTGCTACTGGAAAATAATATTTCGACCCAGTTTCTGGAGCAAATGCAAATAATTACACCAAACTGTGTGTACTGACCGCTGAGATACTCAAGGATGAGGTAGAGTTTTCCACCGGTCTGAAAGGCATAAATTAAATCCACAATGAAGGGATGTTTTACTTCCTCCAGAATATTCCGTTCTGCTTTTGTATGAGCTGTATCTTTAGCATTTCTTACTATCATTGCCTAAAGGAAAAGAGATGATCTATAAGAACAAAATAGTAACATTTTTATTCTATAGGAACTGGAAAGTTGATTTTGTGCTTTTCTTGCCAGTACTGAACTATTATTAATCATACTTCCCACAAGAGATTAAGACAGGGGTAATGAAGAGGTTCACTTCTTATACACATCTGCACTGTTTGGATTTTTTGAAAAGAACATTTAAATGAAAATCTAAAGAGTCATATTTTTAAAAATCTTTAAGTAGACCAAATTTATTCCTATTCACTAACTGCTAAGTGTCTACTATGCCAAGAAAGCAGAACGAACAGGAGTCCCCAGGCCACAGGAGCGGATAGTCTCAGGGACAAGTCACTGGAGGTAAGCACATGGTGCTATGGGTGGACAGGGGAATGCATCTACCCTAACAAGAAGTCTTCCTAGAGACTGTGACACTTAAGCTGCCTCTTGTAAAGATATTACAATAAAAGTTGGGGATAAAAAAGGCATTCTAGTGCAAAAGAGGTATAATAGGACATGTCTGGAGACTCTGTAAGAAATAGCTAGAGATGAGGCTGGAAAGTAGGCATGTGTCAGGAAATGGAAAGCCTGGGCATCTACGCAAGGAGTTTCAACCTTAGTTTAGAGGCAACAGAGAAATGTTGAAGTGAGTAATAAGAATAACCTTTGGTTTTAAGACAGTTTTAGTAGCATTGCAGAGCACTGGAGACTGGTTAGGAGACTAGTACAGTAAACTAAGCAAGGAATAAGAACTTGAGAAAATTAAGTAATTAAGAAAATGAAGGTAGGGGAAGAAAAATGAAAGGGTATAGGTACATCCTTAGCATCTGATGACTAACTAGATATAAGAAGAAATGATAATACCACACTGGTTTCTGCTTTAGTAATAGGATAGATAATAGTTCTAGAAGTTCAATAACAGGAAATAGAAGAAAAAAGTTTTGGGAAAATGATGTATTGTTTTGAACATATTAAGTTTTAGGGAGTTACCCTGATAGTAAGCCTCAAATGACATGAAAAAGCGTATATACAAGACTATTAGTTACAACATTATTTGTAAAAGTAAAATTTGGACACAATCCAAATGCCCATACATAAGATATTGGTTGAAAATCTATGGAATACTTATATAATGTACAAAGAAGCTGTAAAAAGAATGTGCAAAATTTCTATGAAAACAAGATTCAAAAGAGAATATATAATACAACTACCTTCTGTGTGCTACCTTTTATATAAGAAAAGAGAAGTAAGACTATATCTATATGGATCCGCTTATTTCTATAAAAATGAACACGAGATAACCAAAAGTTAATGAGATAGAAGGGTAGGAAAGGGAAAGGAACTTTTAAGTATACTTTCTGAGTAAAATCTCAATGGTTTTATCACCCATGTTCTTGGTTATGTCAAATATTACGAACATGATTGTAAAATAGAGATTTCTGACATCTGAATCAAATTCATATTCTACACATTCTAAATATAAGATTAAATCAATCAGGATGAGAAAGAGAAATAAAAATCCATAAACTTAATTGTACATTACACATTGATAACTTTACCATGCAAAAACCCCAAACCCACTGCCACTGAGGCAATCCTGACCCCAAAGCAACCCTATAGGACAAAGCAGACCTGCCCCATATGGTTTCCCATCTTTACAGACTGCCTCATCTTTCTCCCATAGAGCATCTGGTAGGTTCAAAGTGCTGATCATTTTATTAGCAGCTGAATGCTCTGCACCATCAGAGCTCCTCAGCTTTACCCCAGAAGGAAAAAGGATATTTAAGCAACGTAAGATTGCACATTCTTAGTGGCCTATATGTAAGCATAAAAAGAATTGCAAAGAAATCATGAATCATATTTGGTAACGCTGTTGCTGGTACTAGCACTGGTATTGTAATTCTCAAACTATTATGCATGCATTGTAAATCTGAGCAAATGTTAATGTCTTGAAAGACAAAAGAAGGCTAGAATGAGTTCTACAGAAATGGAAACAAAAGAGGCATAACTAAATGCAACGTGTGATCTATGACACTGAATAATGGATATTAAAACCAGAACACACACACACACACACACACACAAACCAGAACAAAACAGCTCCAGAGGATATTACAGCAACAATGGGGAAATTTAAATATGGGCTATGTATTAAAAAATACTACTTTATGTCAATGTTAACTTTCCCAGGTATCATAAGTTATATCTATGGTTAAGTAAAAGGATACCCTTATTCTCAGGGGATAAATACTGAAGAACTTAGGGGCAAAGTGTCATGATGTTTGCAACTCTCAAATTGTATGGCAAAAAGATTTAAAAAAAAATTTTTTTTAATTTATATATATTAAGAAAGACAAAGAAAATATGGCAAAATATTAACAATTGGTGATCACTCTATTCTTGGAATTTTTTGCAAAGTTTGAAAATTTTCCAAGATATATTATTTTTGCAACTTCTTAAGAGGTATAATTTTTAAAAATAACTAATTGAGAAGAAGTCTGAGAAGCAAGGGCCTAAGAGATAAGATGAAAAATCAGTAAAGCATAATCATAAGTCAAGGGAGCAGAGTTTCAAAATGCTGTGGTCACTAACTTCAGTGCGACAGAGAGGTAAATTAAGAATGGCCTAAGTAAACAGCCATCTAAGATGCAATATTAGGTCTTTCCTTGTCCAGAGCAAAGAAGAATGAAGAAAACCAAAAACGCATGGATTTAATCCAAGGGACTAGTGGACCATGCATACCTCAGCCTTCGACCATAAGACCAGAAGAACTAGATGGTGCCCAGCTACCACTGTCAACCACTCACTTGGAAAGGGATCAGTGCAGGAAATACTAGATAGAGTGGGAGAACAATGTGGAATTAAACTCAAAACATAAAAAACAGCAGCTTTACTGGGTCTGATTGAGCCTACCTATGGCCCCTAGTTACTCTTCAGATGTGCAATTGAACTTACACCCATGGTTTCCAGCCAAACAAGACAGGCACATAGGGTGAGCATCTACATCAGGTAGATATACTCCTTAGAATAATCAATCATGAGAAAACAGAAGGGCAGTTTTTGCACAGGGAGACTGTTCAGAGGGCAGGAATGCATAGGAAAGAAGGACACAGGGAAGAGGTAACGACAGGGAGGAAGTGGAAGAGAGATGTTACACTGTGGGGAATTGCAGTTAATGTCATGAAACAAAATGAGTATGGACTGCTTTATGGAAAATTAATTTGCTCTATAAACTTTCACCCAAATTACAACAAAAAAAAAATTTTTTTTAACGACCTAAGTAAAGACCACTGAATTCAGCAATTAGGAGTTCAATGTTGACTTAAGAAACAAAAGTCTCACTGAAAAAGTAAAATGATAAGTCAAATACAGTGAGTGGAAAAAAAGCATAAAACATGAAAAAGAAGAGATGGTGATGTGGATTATATTTCTCTCAAGAAGTTCAACTATGAAGAACCTAAGAAGGCAGTAGTTATAGGAGACCTTGGGTGAAGGAAGGATTTGCTTTGCTAAATATAGCAGAGACATGAACATATTCAAAGACAGGAATCAGGATAGAGGATAGAAAAAGAGAGGGTAAGTGACAAAGCACAGTCCTGAGCAGGCAGAAAAGATGGAATCCAAAGCATAAAGAGAGGGATTAGCTGAGGAAAGGAGGATAGCCCATCTTCTACTGAGACTGGTACAGAAGGAAGGAAAGACAGGTGAAAATGTACATTAATATGGACTGGAAAAGGAAGATGAAAGCAATCAGATCTGACAGTCTAAAAATTCTATGTCAAGTAAGAAGAGGCAGTCTGCTAAAGGTAGGAAGACTGATAGTAAAGGCTCTTACTGATTGTAGAAAATGCAAGAAGCTGTCTAGGGACTTGTAGGCAAAAAATTGTTAGTGAGCACTGAGGGCCTAAATGGAGACCATGAATTTGTACTGACAGCAACCTACAGGTCTATGCAATTTCTACAAGTAATGCTCAGTAGCTCAGATAAAAAATAAAAGAGTAGTGACACCAAACTGATTTGGATTAGGGCTTTCCTGAACATAAAGTCAATGGGCTAGCAAGTAACTAAAGTACCAGATTGTATTGGTGAGGATGGATTCAGAATAAAGTGAAATAAGAGGGCTAATAAGTGGAAGAAAAATAAAGAGAGAGAGAGAGAGAGGCCAAAGGACTAAAGGGCTTAGGACCAAAGACCAGGCATTATGGGAATAGAGAAGCGAGACAGGTTCTGAACTATGAAAGCCTGTTATTTCAGAGGTAGAGGATATAGCCTGTGGGCTGGTGAAGAAAGCTGAAATGAAACGAAAGCTGATGGAGTTGAGATAATCAAGGAATTAGAAGGCTAGCCTATGGATTACTCACTCAATATTAAGGACAGTGAGGACATTCAGGACAATAAGACTTGTGGGGGGGGTGGGCACTGAACTAGGTATTCTAGTCTCCTTAAATTTAAATGAAAAACCAGAAGATGGTAGATAACAGGTCACAGAGTGGTAAGGGCTTAAAGCTCAGACAAAAAAGGGTTTTGACCAAAAGGTAGAAGAGTAATTATAAGAATAAGCTTATCAGTTCTTCCTTGGAATATATAGTAATCAAGTGAAGGGCAAAAATCACCATTGTCTCACATGCTAAATCCTGCTATTGAACATAATACCTGACACAGAGTATGCTCTCAGTTGGTTCAAATGAAAGAAGAGATAGAAGAAGTATGGCCAATCAAAGACTTAAAAGCCTTCAGCTAAGGGTTCTAAAATGTATGGTGTTGGGGAACTAATGCAATGGACAGTAGTATTTTGCTTCCAGAGTACATCTTTGTTGTTGTCATTGCTACAACTGCCAGGGTAGGGAGATGATTGTTGAAAAGTCTTTTTCTCAACAATCTACCCAAAATTCCTGTAAGGAGTTAAATAGTATCAGTCAGACTGAATGTCCAGGTGAAAACAATTCACTTGAGATAAGGGACACCTGGCTCTTTGATGTCATCTTCAAGGCTGAGAAGAAAGATACTCTTACTCCATATTATGTACAAAGATTGGAAAGTGTAATGCTGGGGGTTACTACTCTTCCTCCAGGGTAACAGAATCAAAAGGAAGTAACTCAAAAGCAGTCTTAGGGATTTAGGATTAAAAACTTGGTCTTAAACTTAGCTCTGCCACCTCTTCACTGTCATTATTTTTGCTACAACCTTGTTTTCAGGGACAGTAGGGAGGGAATGTGAAGGAATTTGATTCTTTAGCCAGGCTTAAGGAAAGAAGAACCCTGAAAGCAGGAAGGAGTGGTAGCCTAACAAAAGGAGATACAAGCAGGTTAGGTCTTGGATGCCTGGCCCAAAAGGGGACCTCTTAACAAGATTATGTCTACAAATTTCCCAATACCCTACCACCACCACCCACCATCAGTGGGGGGGGCAAAATCTTTTTTATTAAAGATCCTATGCCAAAAACACATTTCACTCAAGGCATAATTAGGAATAATATAGTCTCTACTGATTATCAGGCATGAGTAAGCAACTTACCAAAAGGCACGGATTACTTAAGAATCCTGACTATTTCTTTTTAACATTCTAGGACAAAGGAAGGTTGGGCAATCCTACTTCCGTAGTGATACTGCCGCCTTGGAAACCCAAGGAGGGGTCGCTATGAGTCAGGGTTGACTCGACGGCACATAACAACAACAACAACAGGACAAACATTATTATACTGTCTCCAATTCTACATCTAACATGGTTTACAGATTAAAAAATCATGAATTGCAAAAGATTCCAATGGAAAAGCCAAATACCAGAATGCAGAACTGTAGTTCAGAAAATTTTTTTTTTAAGACCATCACGAATAAAAGATGTGATTACGGTATTTGCACCTTGACTTTTACGTTGGAGAGTCATTTGTATTGCCTAAGTGAAAACCAGAAAGAAGGACCAAAGAATTACAAAACCTATAATTTGAAAAAAAAGTTATTTTTCTTATCTTTTAATGTAGCCCTCTACTGGAACATTTCTTATAAGATGGTGAAATCTTTTCAGAAATCAGTCCCAAACAACAAGAATAAGAAACCAAAATTCAAAATTCATCTTCAATAAAACTAGAAACAAGATTAATCCCACACTTAAAAGATAAAGATGGAGTGGGAATGAAGCAACAGTACATGATTCAGGAGAGTGGAGTAAAATCAAACCTAAGAGCCTGCAAAGAGGGAAAATGTGAAGTAAGTTGATTACATCTATAAAATCCTAGAAGGTTCAAAACTTAAGAGATAAGAAAAAATACAAAAGAAAGGAAGGAAAAGTTAGAGGCATTAGGACTGCAAAAGGCAGAAAGTAAAGGCTAATAAAACCAGGGAGAGTACATGAAAGTCTATACAAGAAATAGACAGACCAACAAAGTTCCCATCCCACACTAACCAGCCAGGGAGCTACTCTGAGAAGTGTACACTGCAAAAAAACAGAGTGAAGAATCAGATACAGATTGAAATGCTAAAATAAAAACTTTACTTTGGGGTAGGGGTAGAGGGACTGAGGGGTTTAAATGAAAGTCTGCATATTGAAAAGTGAGATTCCCACCTCCTCTCTCTCACTCAGTGCCAGAATGCTAGCAGGTAGCTGGCATCACAAAGTCCTTTTCAGGCAAAAGAATGGAGGATCTTTCTCAGGACCAACTGATCCACATTAAAAAAAAAAAAAAAAAAGAAGACGACGACCTAACAACAGTGCTATTTGGAGGACCCTAATCCATTGCCAGGTGACCACCTGACTGCAGAGAAGCCTACACACATATAATTTCTGACCAGCTTTTCAGAGTCCTATTCTTAAATATGAGCAACCAAACAAGGATCACCAGATAGCTGGAGAAATTCTCTTAGATGAAATAAACTAAAGAAAAATTGGAACTCATAGACAGAAACATGAAACAAAAGAATATTTCAAAGAATTGTAATTAAAGCCTTCAGAGAAGTAAGAAAAGATAGTAGATTCATAAAACAGATTGTTATAACCACTTGGAGAAGAACTATGTAGGAGATCGTGTATAGCGTGGGAGAACAATGTGGAACAAAACTCAAAATCATTGGAAAAAAAGACCAGGTTTGCTGGTCTCATAGAGCTTGGTGAAACCCCTGAGACTATGATCCCTAGCTGCCCCTCAGGTCTGGAATTGAACCGACTCCTGCGGGTTTCAGCCAAATGAAAGACAGGCATATAAGGTGGACATTTACAATAGATAGATGCACTCCTTGGAGATCAATCATGGGAGAAGAGAAGGGCTGCGTATGTACAGGAAGATAGCTCAGGGGGGCAGAAGTGCATGGGAGGAAAGGACATAGGGAAGAGGTAACTACGGGGAGGAAATGGGAAAGGAGCTGTTGCAGTCAATGTCATGAGACAAAGTGTATGTGAGCTGCTGTATGCAAAATGAATCTGCTCTGTAAACATTCACCCAAATCACAATAAAAATCTTTTAAAAAAAGAGCTCTGGAAAATCACAAATAAGACAGCTTTTAAAAATTAAAAAAAAAAACAAAAAAACAGAAGTACTAGAAAATAAATTTCTAGAAAAACTCAAAGTAAACAAAAAGACAAAGAAATTCACAATAAGAAACAAAAAGCAAGAACTAGATGATCAGTAAAGGAGGTGCAACATTCAACTAATTGCAACTGCAAACAGAGAAAATGATCAAAAAAAAAAAACAAGAAAATTTCTCAGAAGTGAAAAGCAAACTTTAAGACTGAAAGAGTAAAACTAAATAAAATAAGTAAAAAAATTAGGACATCTGGAATAAAGAGAAAATGTTAAATATTGTCAGAGAAAAACAGGTCATGTGTGAAGGACCGAAAATCAGAATGGCAAGGACTTCTGAACTGAAACTCAAAGCTAGAAGAAAATGGAGCAAAATTCTATGTGAAGATGATTTTCAACTTCAAAACCAAGAAAACAAGTTTGCTGTTGTTAGCTACTGGCAATTCAATTTCAACTCATGGAGACCCCATGTGTGCAGAGTAGAATTGTTCCATGGGGTATTCAAGGCTGTAATCCTTCAGAAGCAGATCACCAGGCTTCTAGGCAGGTATGAACCACCCATCTTTTGGAACTAGTTGTCAAGCACTTAGTTTGTGTCACTTAGGGACTCCAAAAGAAATAAAAGGATGTAATAAACCAAAAAACCAAACCTACTGCCATCAAGTTGATTCTAACTCATAGCAATCCTATGGGACAGAGCAGAAGCTCTCCATAGGTTTCCAAGGCTGAAAATCTTTATGGAAATAGACCGCCTCATCTTTCTCCTGCAGAGCAGCTTTGGGGTTCAAGCGTCAACCTTTAAGTTAGCAGCCAAATGCTTTAATCACTATCCACCAGAGCTCCTTGCCCAAAAAAACCAAACTCATTGCCACTGAGTGAGATCTGACTTGCAGCGACCCCTCCTTGGGTTTCCAAGGCAGTATCACTATGGAAATAGATTGCCCAACCTTCCTTCTGAGGACTGGCTGGGGGTGTGAACCACCAGCCTTCTGGTTAGCAGTCAAGTGCCTCAGTCACTATGCCATTAGCACTCCTAGAGCTCCTTACAAGGATATAATAATGAAATTTTCAAGTACACAATTAAAAAAAAAAATTACCTTCACTTACTCTTTCTTAGGGAGCTCTGGTAGCATAATGGCTAAGACACTTGCCTGCTAACCAGATGGCTGGCGGTTCAAACCCACCAGCCACTCCTCGGAAGGAAGGCTGGGCAATCCTACTTCTGTAGTGATACTGCCTCGGAAACCCAAGGAGGGGTCGCTATGAGTCGGGTTTGACTCGACGGCACATAACAACAACAACAACAACAACAACAACTCTTTCTTAGGAAACCAACAGTAGATAATCACCAAAACAAAGGAAGAAGGGCATACACTAAGAAAAAAGAGTCTATGAGATCTAGGAAACGAAAAACCCAACATTGAAGGAGCCAAGAGGTGTCCAAGAATTGTGGTGAAAGACTTCAGTAATGACAGCTATATAGCATTCCTAGAGAGCTACCAGTCCAGATGGGTACAGGGTAATACATTATTCCTAAAGGGATGTCACTAGGAAAATAATGGAACTGATGAATTATCTAGTAAGTCTGACCATAGAACATTAGACTGAAAGGTGTTTTACAGAGCTATAAGATGTGGGAAGACAACAGTACATTCAAAGAAAATTACACAAAATGAAGGGATGAGGAGAAGGAAGGGAGAAGTAAAAGAGATTAAAATTCTTAAGTATCATAATAGGAAGTCAATACATAAATTTAAATTGCTGAGTTAAGAGATATAGTATATATTTAATACTTAACTATGGAGACCAGATCAAAGAGCTAAAAAAGTTACTTCAGAGGAAAATTAAAAGTGCTCTCCCTTCTACCCTCACCAAGCAGAAATTTGGAAATAACAACAATAATAAAATATATCTCACATTCTATGAGGATAATTGTGTTATAAGTACATTTTTTCGACAAGAGAATTTTAGGCCCAAATATGGATTTTACAGCAATTAAGGATAAAGTGTGGGGAAAAAAAAAAGAGGTTGGGGAATCACCTTTTTAAGCACCTTCATGGCAAATATTTTGCCAGTATTTGCTCCTGTTACTTTTCGTACTTGAAAAACCTGGTTTAAAAAAAAAAAAAAAGGGTTTAATTAAACAACATTAAAAGTCAAAATATGTCAGTCACATTCCCTGAATTCCTATTTATACGAAACAAACAGTATAGTAGTGTATATTCTTGTAAAAACTAGCACCATGAAGGTCCACATGCAAAAATGATCACCTAAGAGAGCAGACCACAAGAAAGACTGAGGGACAGTCCCCTACACAGTAGGGGTCTTTACTGTTTGGTCTGCTGCCATCTGGTGGCAAAGCTGGGCAATGACGTCTATTGAGGAGCTATAAAGAGGGTTTCCAGAAGCATACCAAACCAGAAAACTTTATTTCAGAAATTTCTCCCAGAGATGTCCCTATTATTGCCTCATATAAAGCAGTTTAATAATAGTTGACTGGAATTACTGTTTACCTATTCTTTAAAATGACTGGTTATAAAACATTTTAATGCAACAGCTAAAACATGTACAACCCAAAATGTATGTGTTATACATTCAGAATGAACAGAACTTAAGCCAAAGAATAAGCTACAAATGTCATGCTCTGTAAGAATTAACACTACACAATAGCATAAGTAGTTCTTAAACTTATTTCTAACCAAGTTGTTATCCAAGTTCTGTCTTTTGATAGACAATAAATAGGTATAAATTTTCTTGGGCCAAATGTGCAAGTAACGTCTTAAGTTAGAAAACCTTTGGCAAATCTATAAAACTATGAAAATTTCTTTAGTTTAATAGAAAGAAAATCAATTTGAATTAAGCCCTCAGTAAGAGACAGTAAATTAATGTGTCAAGTCTCCTGAAAGTAAAGAGAGTTTTTTTTTTTAAGAGGATACTTACAGATAATAACATTTGGCCAATAACAGATTTTGCCTGACACAATTGTCTATTCACCAAATATTTACAGAGTGCCTATTATATGCCAGGCTTTTTTTTACATGTGTGGTAGTAGCAAGAGGAGGAAAAACTTCATACATCCTTCAAATCACACTAGGAAAATGGTCATATCTTTGGCTGATGGCTAATAAAGACAACTTACAGAGGAGTGCTGGAATCAGGCTGTAAAACTCAATCTACCCAACACAGACAACAGCTCTTTCTTCAAAAATTACTTCCTACCTTTCCATAGCCCCCTTTACCAAGTACCCGAAGTAGCTCAAAACATTCTGGTCTGATTTTTTCTGGCCCTCTGTTCACACTAGTTTCTGAGATTTCAAATTTTTCACAATGTTCCATGCCACTGGGGAGAAAAGCAAAACCAAAAGTAAATTTGCAGAATGTTAAATTATCTTCAGCATATTGTTAGAAAGAGGAGAAAGAAAAAATATAATCCAATTAAATAAAAGAAAAAGTAGATCACAATAAATTTAGTACCTGTGCTCCAAGTAAACTCATGATTCAATGATGTAGCAGATTAAGATTAAGGTGGCCTGAGTGGTGTTTGCATATCTGCCTGTTCACAGAATGTGTTATCATTCTTTTTTTCCACAAGCATAAAATGTTCCCAAACTTAGGCAAATTAGAACGAGTTTATTAAGTTGACAATAGAAAACAGTCTCCTAGTTACTCAAATTTAGTTCATTCTAAGTATCTTTGAGATTATGTATTATCCCATCTTACATGGCAATTTCAGCAGAAAATCTGGTGCTTTCTAAACATACTCAATTATTTCAAGTCTTTATGATACAAATATTCTTGCTAATAAAACTTATCTATGTCTGCGATTAGCTTTAGTTAAAGACTCCAAAAAGGGTGACAATTTCCTCTGTCACTTAAATGCTTTCTTACTGTAAGAGTGATCTTCTCATATTTCCTCAACCCAAAGCCTTTTTTTTTTTTAAATTTGGGGGTAGTAATCATGGGAGAATAGAAGGGCTGTGTATGCACAGGGAGACAGCTCAGGAGTGCATGGAGGGAAGGACACAGGAAAGAGGTAACTATGGGGAGGAAGTGGGAGGGGTGCTGCTGCATTATGGGAAATTGTAGTCAACATCATGAGAGAAAGTGTATGTGAACTGCTGTATGGAAAGTGAATTTGCTCTGTAAACTTTCACCCAAATCACACACACAAATAAAATAACAACAAAACTTGGGGGTAGAGAGCAGATTCATCACCATACTTACCTAACAGAGCTTGCCTAAAATGGACTTAACATTATGTGAATCTCTGTTTGAATAATGTTAAAAGCAAAACAAGAAGCATTTGAACTTTGGTGTCATTTTTTAAATCTTATTTTTAAGAAAGGTTGGAAATGTAGTTTTCTATATTGTTGTTAGCTAATGTCAAGTAGGCCCTCATCTCATGAAGACCCCATGCACACAGGATCAGACCACAGTGATCCATGGGGTTTTTACTGGTTAATTTTTCAGATTTTCTAGCCTGTCTTAGTCTTAGTGCTCTGCTGAAACCTGATCAGCCTCATAGCAACATGGAAGCCTCCACTGACAAATGAGTGGTGGCCGCACTTGAGGTATACTGGCCAAGAACTGAATTTGGGTCTTCCTCCTGGAAAGGTCTTCCTCACGAAAATCCTACCACTGAACAACCACTGCCTCCAGTTCTCTACATTAAACAAGTAAAAATTCCTAATATATTCAGACTCCTATTTTGTATACTCTGAATTTGTATGAATATATTTTTCTTAAAATCCACAAATGATCCCAAACTCTGGATGTGTCACACTGATCAGATTTTGGTACCAAACTCAACAAATCAAGTCTATAAATATGACTCAGTATTTAAGAAAAGGTGATTGGAATCACACGAGGATTATGAACTGATGCTGACATAATCTAGTTTGTAAAAAAAAAACCAGCATAATGAAAATCTTTTCACATAAACTTACAGTTCATATGGTCCAACTCCCCCATGATCCATGCTTTCGTTTAACTGACCCTGAAAAACATTTTAAAGTTTTAAAAATCAATAGTTTCATAAAACATAAAGTTTAATGTTTTGCCCCATAACTGAAGGGGAATGAATGAAATAAACCAGCTTAAAATTCTCTATACTTTGTTGTTGTTGTTATGTGCCGTTGAGTTGGCCCCGACTCATAGCGACCCCTCCTTGGGTTTCCGAGGCAGTATCACTACGGAAGTAGGATTGCCCAACCTTCTCTATACTTTAGTAACAGGCAAATATTGTGATGAACAAAATAAGGTACACAAACAGTACTATGACAACTGAGCTACAGATACTACTCATCAATGATCTGCATACAAAGCCAGGTGATTTTTCCTTCAAAAATACTTATCTATTCAAAAAATGTATTTTTTTTTTTTTTGCATTATAAAACTAAAGGCATTACTAAGCTAAAGGCAGTTACAAAACTAAATGATTTACATAAGTGCTATTCTGATATGCTTCTGATACAGAAACTAACAAAATGCTATGAACGAAGCCTAAGGTAATGACAATCAGGCTAAGATGCTATAGTGTATGATGTAACTTATCAAGACAAAATCATTCAGCCACAGTCTCAAATAGTTAGGTGTGCTGGTGAAACATTTATTCTGACCACAGACTAAATGGGTACAAAATTAATTAACCTTCTATACAATGGCAATGAACAATTGGAAAATAAAATTAAGATAGCAATTCCATTCACAATAGCATCAAAAGGAATAAAATACTTAGGGATAAATTTAACAAAAGAAGTACAAGATGTATACTGAAAACTATAAAACATTGCTGAAAGAAATTATAGAAAACCTAAATAAATGGAAAGATATTCCATGTTAATGGATCAGAAAACTTAATATTGTTAAGATGGCAATACAACCCAAATTGGTATACTGATTCAAAGCAACCTAACACAATTCCAGGTTCCTTTCTTACACTAAGTGGCAAGCTGACCCTAAAATTCATACAGTACAAAGTACAAAGAATCCAAAACAATCTTAAGAAAGAAGAACAAAGTTGAAAGACACACTTCCCAATTTCAAAACTTAGCACAAAGTCACAGCAATTAAGACAGTGTGGTACTAGCATAAGGACAGACATACAGATCAATGAAGTAGAACTAAAAGGCCAGAAATAAACCCTTACCTTTCATTAAACTGATTTTAGACAAAATGCCGAGAAAATTAAAATGGAAGAAGAGTCTTTCAATAAATGACACCAGGACAATTAGATATCCACATGCAAAAAACCTAATTTAATTTGGACTCCTACCTCACAAAAATTAACTCAAAATGCATTATAGACCCAAAAGTAAGAGCTAAGACTATTAAAGTCTTAGAAGAAAACAGGAGTAAATCTTTATGATCTTTAGGTAGGCAATGATTTCTTAGACATAACACCAAAAGAAGAAATGATTAAAAAATGGACAAATCAGACTTAATCAAAATTTTAAACTTTCACATTTCAAAAGATACCATCAAGGAAGTGAAAAGACACCCAACAGAAAAGGAATATATTAAGAACCACTACAACTCAGTAATAAAAAGATAAATAATCCAACTTAAAAAAAAAAAAAAAAGTGGGTAAAGGATTTGAATAGACCTTTCTTCAAAGAAGATAAACAAATGGCCCATAAGCGCATGAAAAATGCTCACATCATTGGTCATTAGTGAAATGCAAACCAAAGCACACTGAGATACTACTTCACACCCACTCCAAAACTCATTGCTATCAAGTGGGATCTAACTCATAGCGACCCCTCCTTGGGTTTCTGAGGTGGTATCACTACCGCCTTTTGGGTAGTGATTCTATTGGGAAGTAGAGTGCCCAATCTTCCTTCTGAGCAGTGGCTGGTGGGTGTAGGATGGCTATAATAAAAACAAATTTGGTGAAGATGTGGAGAAATGGAATCCTCATATACTGCTGGCAGAAATGTAAAATGGTGCAATCACCATTTAGTTTGAGTTTCTTAAGATATTACACAGAGTCACCCTATGACCTAACAAATCTACCCCTAGGAGATCTACCCAAGATAAATGAAGATACTTTTTCTAGAGACTTGGATATGAATGTTTATAGCAGGATTATTCTCAACAGTAAAAAAGTAGAAAACAACCCAAATGAGTATGAACTGGCAAATGGATAAACAAAATGTGGCATATTTATCAATGGAATACTATTTGGTCATAAAAAGGAATGACGTGCTGATAAATGCTATAACACAGATGATCCTCAAACACACTATGATAGGTAACCTCAAAGAAAAATGATAAACCTTCACATCACAATAAAAAAGAGGACAAGCACAAATATTCAGCATATACTAAAACAACAGCAACAAAGGAAA